ATGGAATATTTATCACACTGTAATGATGATTTTATAACCTCATAATTTTTTTCATTTCACATGCTGAATACTATCATTTACTAAAAAAAAAATGAAAAGTATTTAAAAAAAAAAAAAGGATCGACAGAGATTCCATCCCGGGACCTCTCACATGTGAAGCGAGAGGCATACCACTAGACCGCGGAATCGCTTTACATAAAATCAAGTATATGCAGAACTGAAGTCACATACATGTATATATTCATGTTCGGTATTGTCAAAATTTTACACAATCCATGGTGTTTGATTTATTTAGCCTTTATTAAACAGTTCTAATAGATGTAATAAGAACATAAAGTCCGCCGAGAACCTGTTTTATACGCAATAACTCTCCTCATGCCCCTGTGCTAAAAATAGCGACATGTAATACTATAAATACTATTAAAACAAACGGGGCGGGGCACTTTGAGAGGGGTGAGAGAGGTTCTAGGGAGTTTTGGTGTAAATTATATTGCTTAAGCTCAAAATCTTCTTGAAATATCGCCCGGAAATGATAGTGTTACACACAGACAGAATGTATAAATTTACGACCTTGAACTTTGACCTTTTGACCTCAAAATCAATAGGGGTCTTCATTAGGCCACATGGAGTTGTTATGTAAAATTTCATTGCGATAGCTCAAATGGTTCTAGAGATCTCGTGTTGAAACGAAAGTGTTATAACAGACAGAATTTGCTTATTTATGACCTTGACCTTAGACCTTTTGACCTCAAAATCAATAGCGGTCTTCTTTTGTCCATAGGGAGTTGCTATGCTAAATTTCATTTCAAAAGCTCAAAGGGTTCTCGAGATATCGTGTGGAAACGAAAGCGTTACAGACAGACAGAAAGACGGACGGACAGACGGACGGACGGACAAACCCAAATTAATATCCCCCACTTTTCAAGCGGGGGACAACAAACGGGACGGGTCACTTAGAGAGGGGTAAGATAGGTCTTAGGGAGTTTTGGTATAAAATTACATTGCAAAAGCGCGGAAACGAAAGTGTTATAACAGACAGAATTTGCGAATTTATTACCTTGACCTTTGACCTTTTGACCTCAAAATCAATAGGGTTCTTTTCAAGTCCATAGGGAGTTGCTATGCAAAATTTCATTGCCAACGCTCAAAGGGTTCTCGAGATATCGTGTGGAAACGAAAGCGTTAGAGACAGACAGAATGACGGACGGATGGACAGACCCAAACTAATATCCCCCACTTTTCAAGCGGGGGACAAAAAAAGGATACAAGGGCATGTTGATCACATGAAATAATCTGTTCCAGAAAAGAGTAAAGGAAGTAAACACTGCAGTATTTTGCATCTAATGTAAATCAGCTTGCACAAAATCTAGCTCTCTAGGTATAATCGCACAGTTTCGGATCATGGATCTATCAATCCTTATACAGCCTGACGCCGTGACGTTCGGCAATAATGAGTAACTGCATATGGACTATCTTTACTTCATATAAAATTTATAATATTGTTCGATATTATTGTCCCCCGCTTGAAAAGTGGGGGATATTAATTTTGGTCTGTCCATTCGTCCGTCATTCTGTCTGTCTGTAACGCTTTCGTTTCCACACGATATCTCGAGAACCCTTTGAGCGTTGGCAATGAAATTTTGCATAGCAACTCCCTATGGATTTGAAAAGAACCCTATTGATTTTGAGGTCAAAAGGTCAAAGCTCAAGGTAATAAATTCGCAAATTCTGACTGTTATAACACTTTAGTTTCCGCGCGATATCTCGAGAACCTTTTGAGCTTTTACTATGAAATTTTACATAACAACTCCCTGTGGCCTAAGGAAGACCCCTATTGATTTTGAGGTCAAAAGGTCAAAGTTCAAGGTCGTAAATTCATACATTCTGTCTGTATGAAACACTATCCTTTCCGGGTAATATTTCAAGAAGATTTTGAACTTTTGCAATGTAATTTTAAACCAAAACTCCCTAGGACCTCTCTTACCCCTCTCAAAGTGACACGCCCCGTTTGTTGTGTTAGTATTTATTGTATTACATGTCGCTTTTTTTTTAGCACTGGGGCATGAGGAGAGTTATTACGTATGAAACAAGTTCTCCGTGGACTTTATATTCTTATTACATCTATTAGAACTGTTTAATAAAGATTAAATTAGACACCATTCATTATGTAAAATTTTGACAATATCGAACGTGAATATATACATGTATGTGACTTCAGCTTTACATATGATTTGTGTCAGAGTAAAGCAGTTCGGTGGTTTAGTGGTATGTCTATCGCTTCACATGTTAGAGGGCCCGAGTTCGCATCCCGGACGATCCAATTTATTTATTTTTTTTCGAAATACTTTTTTCGTAACTAAATGATAGTATTAAGCATGTGAAATGAAAAATTTATGAGGTCTGGCTTGTACAAACTCAAAAAATCATCATTACAGTGTGATAGATATACCATATAAAAAGAATCTTCTATACACATAATAAAGAATAAGCAATCAAATCTTTACATCCATATTGGCATATTTTGTGTGTGTTGTGTGTATACATGTATTCTTTTGCCTCAAATCTTTCACTTTTCATACCCATTTCACACATATTCACGTTTACCCCGTTTTCCAGGGGGGGGGGGTCCATGGTAACTTTTTTCTTGTTTTAGTATATACATTTTTTAATCCTGGTAAATTAGCTTGTTCTGCATTTCTACTCTACTGGATCAGTCCATTTATATTCTACGAAAGGGGTGAATCGCTCTTTTCGCGCCAAATGCCAATAGTAAGCTATCTTCGCGCCTTTACCTTGGATTGTTCTATAGTATGAATGGGTATGCTAACTTCCATGGAATTAAATAAAGTTTTACGCAATTTTAATATATTTCTTACGTGCATGTAAATGTGTCCAACGCTTTCGACACTTTTCGTCTTATACATCAGCAATCCTTTAATTCATTAAAAATCTGAATAAATATGTTAGTTTTAAAAGGTATGATATGTTCCGTAAGGGTGAGATATACATCAGCAACAGTTTAATAATTGGATTATAGACCTTTTTGATGAGCCAGCGAAGAAATATACTTACAATTTCGTCCATTGTTTTAAAATAGCAACAGCGCAACTTTCAGATAGCAGTATAATGAACGCGCAATTTTTCTGATAGCAACCGTTTAGGTACTACATCGTGTTCATGTTGAAAAATCGATTGCTTTAGTCAGGCATGCTTTTTAAAAAGCTGTTACTTGTGTATAATTATAAACATTGATTTCAAAAAAACTTTCTTTTATAGTTTTGTTTCGTTTCGGTAGGTTTCGTCCAAGGGGCATAACTCTGTTCAAAGTGGTTCGATCGTACCCAACACAAAACTTGAACTAGATATTCTTATGATAAATTTGTATACCAAATTCCATTTTAATATGTGCAACCTCTGCAAAGAAAATGAACGGAAACTGATGATTGACCGACAGACAGACAGCACCAAAGCAATATGCCCTCCCTTCTTCGCAGAGGGGGGATAAAAAGAAGGGCATGTAAATTAAGCCGAGAAGAAAATTATAAGATAAGACGAAAGCCAACAAATGATACCTACTTTGTGGAATATTGAGAAGATGTCTCATCCAACGCAAGCAAACCAAAGTTAAACCAAATTAAATATCCTTCATTTCTCAGACAAAGAACTGACATTTGATCACCTTCCTTCAGGATACAAGCATATATTTTTTCTAGAACTTTGCAAAAATAATCAAGCGTGTAAGGTGTTATATTCACGATATTAGCTATGTAATGATTTCCCACTTTATTAAAAGCCTCCATTTCCTTATTTGAAAAAACAACATTTTTTAATCATATTCAGTTACATAGTTGAAAGCTATCATGTTCTCCAATATGGCGAGTTATGAACTGTAATTTGTGAGAAATGGCGAGAAGTAAGAAATATAAGTGACAACCTCTATGCTGTAGGCTAAATTTGTCAATTTTAACTTTCTTGAATCTTGAAAATTACCTATATTGACATATCAAGTAACAGGATAATGAATTCAACTCGACACTTTTTCGAGACAATTTCGGAAAAAGTCCCCAAGTCAGATGCAGAATCATTCTATTTAATAAAATTAGATTTTAGAAATGCTTATTTTCGTTAGCATTTGTTTTGTTAGTTCTGTAAGTTTTTACGCCCCTTAACTGAATAGATTGGTCCTCAAACCGCCGACTCTAAATTAAAAGTATAGTAATTAGTTAACAAACATACACCACCCCCACCACCCCCAGTTTTCATATTCTGAAATTGTTTTATCTTGATTTTTTTCTGTTTTCTCGTCTTGGCAAGAAACTTTCATTTTAAACGTAATGTAACGAAGGGAATCATACCTGAATGGTAGATAATATTAAGCCAACATTTCCAGTCAATTCATGTAATCTAATTTCCCCTCCCTATCATTTCAAGAGAAAGAACTGTAGCTGTATGCCTCTTCTAAACTGAAAGATATCTTGTAAAGTATATATCTAGAATTTGTATATGTATATGCTTTTTTGTTGGAAGCCAGACCTGGTTTTCTTATACAGTATTTACTTATTCCAGTGCGTATTATTTTATTGACCTTGTCAATAAATCAGAGGACAACATACGTGTACAGAGAAAGAAATTTTATATTACTTTGTTACAGTAGTTTTTAACCCATAAAAAAGTTTTCCTAACAAGGGTTGAGCTCTGTGTCCGTATTCCGGGTTATTGATTCTGATTAACTGATCATATACAGACCATTGGAATTCCAAGCAAAATACAGATGTCTGTTGAATATTTTATCAATTCTCACCAATCGCAAAAATTATCAAGACCAATGAGTTTTAAATTAAAGGCCATCATGTTTTCCTGCGTGACTTGTAGAATCTTAGAGCACCTTCAGAAAAAATCCATAACAAGGCCATTACTTAGCGTTACACTGTCGGACTATCGACCACCAAACTGATGTAAAAATCCTCCCGTAAAATTGGAGCATTGATATTAGGGGAAGTGATTGATTCAAGAGAGTTCAATAATGTTTTGCATCACTCTTGCAAAATGATGTTTTAATCACAGTAACAAGTCCATAAGCCGACCAGAAGAACTCATTTCCTGGAGAGAGAGGCATGATGAATGTTTATCCAGGACTTTACGCAACATGCGTCGTTGTGATTTGTTGGAGTGTTAAGGCGAACGCCGATTCCTGCTCGTACAACTTTGATGTTTGGTACCCCGATAGGGACACCCAGAGTAGATTACAAGTGATTGAATTGAAAATTTCGAATTTGTCCTCGTATTTTGATTTGGAAATCTTGAAACTTAAACATGCTGACCTTCACGAGCTGAAGTGTATTCAAAATAAGTCCAATCAGCTTGAATTGGAGTTGATAAAATCAAAACTAAAAGAATATAAAGAAAAAGCTGCCAATAATGAATCAAACCAACCTGTCGACTTAAATTTTCGACTTAATGACTTTGCACGACGCTTAACTCATTTAGAAAACAAGCTGTTAAGGAGGACAGACCGGAAGTTGAGATTAAAACAAGAGAGGGCGCTAGAAGATAGCGGTCATGTGACGTTACACACACTTCGCACATCCGTCAGTGATTTGAAATCCGAATGGATTATGATTAAAAGAGACATGTTTGATATACACAAGGAAATAGCCTACCTGAAACGAGACCATAATGATGTTACTAACCTTACCACTCATTTACAAGATAAAACGGCAACTTTAAAGAAATCGGTGAACGATTTCAAAACTTCTCTTGACCATAGTTCACAAACAGTCAGAATTTTAAATTCAAATTTTGACACACTCAAACAAATTGTATCAGCCAAAGATGATGTACAAATGAGAGCAGAGCTTAAGAAGATGTCAACAAAAGTCGGCGACATCGAAAAACAACTCGATGCTTACAAATTAAACGCAAGCTCTTTAACAAAAGCAGTAGAGAAAATCATTTTGACAGCGGCGATTCAAAATAAAAGTGCTGTTCGTATGAAAGCTCCGGAAGCAAACCGGATGTATCCGTCAGGTAACCGGAATGCTTTTTAATCATATTCTTTTGAAAGTTGGTAGCTATTTAAATAATAGTTAGAAATATTTTAGAACTCCGTTTATTATTGTCATTTCATATAAGTTTAACTAGATCTATGTCTATTTTTCTTTGCCGACAAATTGTGCTGCTATTATTTTCAGATTGTGACGATGTTCTAAAATCTGGTCATTCTACAAACGGTGTTTACAGAATACAGCCTCGCGATTCTTCGTACCCTTTCAATGTTTACTGTGACTTTTTTGATGGAAATTTTATAGTGTTTCAAAGACGCGAGGACGGTCTTCAGAATTTTGACAGAAGTTGGTTAGAATACAAATTCGGATTCGGCAGTCTATATGGCGACTTTTGGTTGGGAAACGAATTAATACATTTAATAACGAAGCAAAGGAAATATGGCCTGTTGATTATGATAGAGGACTGGGAGGGAAAGTCCGGTTGGGCCGAGTACTCCAAATTCAGTGTAGAGGACCACAGTAATCAGTATACACTTCGAGTGTCTGGATATACTGGTACTGCGGGGGACTCACTGACTTACCACAATGGAATGAAGTTTAGTACCGAGGACACCGACAATGACCTGAACATGCGCAATTGTGCTGCAGAAAACAGAGCTGGTTGGTGGTTCAATTCTTGTTATCTTAGTAACCTTAATGGGGTCTACCACAAGGGGTGGTATACGCATGCGCAAGCAAAAAATAGTGATGGAGTCGTATGGTTCACATGGAAAGATTCTGAAAAGTATTCCTTAAAGAAGGTTCATATGAAGTTGAAACGTGCATAAAGGGAAGGCAGACTTTTCGTTATGCATGTGTGATCTTGCTGAATTGTAAATGGAATAACTGGTATAGCATCAAGTTCAATAAGTTATAAAATGAGTTTTTAAGAAAATCTTACGAATTCATTCAATGTAACAATATATATATATATATATTTATAGATATAAATATCATAAATGAGGACGTAGCTAACTAAATGAATTGATATCTTTTTGCTCGGCTACGAACTTTGTATCATATTTCAAAAATCATTCTCTAGGCAAAAACGACGTTTTAACCCTGCAAAAAGTATTCCAACTTTGATTACTTGGTTTCGGAGAGGTCCAGAGAATTGACAGTATTAGTATTTGTGTATTAGATTAGAGCTCAAGGGAAGAACAATTCTGCATTAATGAGTTGCCTATTTAATTAAAACTGAAACCATTAGACACTTTGACAAATATTAACATTCAGCATACAGTCAATACAACTTCAATGATGAGTATAATCATTTGACAAACATGTAATAGAATTAATTATTAAAATGCGTTAAAAGGATAGCTGGGCACGACATTAGACGTTATCCAATTTTCTCCGGAAATCAATTATGTTATTTATTTCATAAATGGGAGAAAATCCCCCAGGATCCCAATATGTGGCGCTTAATAACAAATTAATATTTTTACACAGAAAAATGAACATTTCTGAGTAATTCAATTGCGCTTAATCTTTCCAGCGAGACTTTTAAAAGTGTAAAGGTAGAAAATTGGATAACGCTAAAAATATTAAGCTTTGTAAACAATTATTCTGTACATAGACTGTCCGCGTATGAGACGGATGCAGACAGTCGGTGATGGTTTCAGTTTAGGGTTCCGCATTTCTCCGTCCTAGACTTCAGTAACAACTCTCGAAGCTGATCTGTGAACAAGGAAAGTGGAAGCTGAATTAAAGGTCATAAAAATCCAGTTAACAATATTTTAAGGATGGTAGCGGTACAATTTACCTATAGAATACGCTGAAATATCCACGCTATCAGATGGCAAAATCTCTTTGATTTGGTCTAGAAATACAAAAATATGGTCCTAAGATTTAGTTACACTGGATATTCGTTAGAAAATTTCACCAAATAACTTTAAAATGAATGATAAATGTATGGAGTAAATTTATTCTGTAAATTGTTTTATTTATACACATCTCAAATGCCGAATTTGCCTCAAATTTAAGTTATTAAACTCGTAAAATTAATATACAATAAAACTATACCAGTACAATTTTCATCCAGGATTCTTGTTTTGGTTTGTTCCTCCTTAACTTTACTGTCTGTTAAACTCTGCAATATACATTCGATATTCAACAACAAAATATTGCATTTTCTGTTTAGAGGCTTTATCACCGTCCTCCTTGGAAAATGACACGTAATTGACATACTATACCCTTCCTCTCATCTGTAATGGGTAAAAGTGAATGCTCTGAGAATTTTCAATTATTTCATTGGCAAGAATACTGGGAGAAAATTTCCTGTTGCTGTATTTTTCGTTTTCTGGACAGGGGATACTGTAGTTTCGTATTAAAGTTCATTTAATTACGTTTAAAAACTGATATTTTTCTGTTTGTTTAATTTTGTTTTTAATAAATAAATAGAATAATTATGGGATACAAGGGCAGTGTATCAGAGTGCATGGTCGCTGAAAAAAATTATGTGAATATATAGTTGTCATTTATGATGCGTAGAATGTATAAAGTTGTAAATGCGAAACTAAGACACGCGATATGTTTAGAAGAAATCCAGCTGGAAAGTATAAATAAGAAATTTATACAGAGCCAAATACTGCTTTAGAGAGACAGCCTGACTATGTTTATGTCAGTTAACTGTTTAAGGTTATTGTGAACGACATGCAACAAAGCTTTTTGAACCAGAAGTCTCTGTCGAGACTGAAGCTCTACTGGTTTTTACTTATAGCAAAGGAGGAGAAAAGTAGCAGTTGGGAATTGAAACTTTACAACAGCAATGAATAGATTAAGTCTCTTTATGTTCTTAGTGTAGTCTACTTGCATGCCATATTATATTACAATCAGACTAAAACTTTATTTGGGGTAGCATTTTCATAGTATTTTACAGAAATTTCTGTCTTTAGTAATAAGGCAAAAATGTTCATCGAAATAAAAAAAAACGATAAATAGAATTGTGATTCTTAGTGTAGTCTACTTGTGTGCAAAATTATATCGAAATCAGATCAAAACTGTAGGAGGAGTAGCATTTTGAAACGATTTCACAGAAATTTCTATTTTTAGTAACCATGGCAACATCGTTCATCGAAATCGAAATCCGATACACAGATTTATGTATCTTAGTGTAGTCTACTTGTGTCAAATTATTTTGAAATCAGACCAAAACTGTAGGAAGAGTAGCTTTTTGAAACAATTTCACAGAAATTTCTATTTTTAGTAACCACGGCAACAACATTCATCGAAATCAAAAACCGATACACAGAATTATGTATCTTAGTGTAGTCTACTTGTGTCAAATTATTTTGAAATCAGACTAAAACTGTAGGAGGAGTAGCATTTTGAAACAATTTCACAGAAATTTCTATTTTTAGTAACCACAGTAACACCATTCATCGAAATCAAAAACCGATAAATGGAATTATGTATCTTAGTGTAGTTTACGTGTGTGCCAAGTTATATTAAAATCAGACCAAAACTGTAGGAGGAATAGCATTTTGAATAATTGTTTACAGACAGGCGGACAGCTAGAGAGGTAGACAGACAGACGGACGGACACCTGACGCATTACTATCGCATAAGCTCTTTTGGTCTCTGACCAGTAGAGCTAAAAAGCTGAAACTGTTATTTTTTCTTTTATTTTTCCTTAGCCATTTTCAAAACACAATGTCACATGGTCTGGCGTCATGGTGGAGTGGTTTTGAGATTGAAAACATTGTAAATATAAATTCCAATAAAAAAAACGAACACTGATCTAAAAAAAATCTGTCAGCAAGGCATATTATTAAATGATCAGGAATTTTAGTGCTCTCTGATTGGTCTAGACGCCTTTTCCTGAGATGTACCTCATCAAAAGTCAATAATTGTATAAAATATGACCTCCGAAAATTCCAGAGGTAGGACCAAGTGCCTAGGAGGAGTAAGCATCCACCGTTGATCAGTCACAAACCTAACCTAATTAACAAACTTTTTCAGTCTCTGACAGGATGGTTTAATAACTTTCTCTATTATTACATATAAAATGTCAGAGTTATGTGGAAATCACGACTTTGCCGCACTTCTGATATTCTTTCACAAAATGTGACAAAATATCACTTCATAAAATAAACAAAATATATCATTTCATTTTTGAAAATGTAATTATATTTTTACGTCAGGTATATAACAAATATAACTGAATATTTACATTCGCTGTGTTTTTCTACTAAGCCAGTTGTGAAATTGATTTGAAAACCATTTTCGCGTATACTCACGCGTAGAAATATGCACGAAGAAACGTGTGTTAACGTGACGTCACAATAAGGCTACAGCGACGTTAGTAAAAGTATAACGATATAGGGCAGCGAGAAATTGAAATATTGAGTATATTTTGGTGCTTCCAAACACGTAAAACGTTAATATCAGGAATGTTTTTAAGTTTAGTGTGAATTATTGGTGTGTGAATCACACAGACTTGCACGTAGGCATATTTTTCATGAAGAGCTAGCGCGCTTCATGAAATATACCTACGTGACAAGTCTGTGTGATTCACACACCAATAACTCACACAAAACTTAAAAACATTCCTTAATTTAATTTAACAATTAATTAGGAAGGCCACATCGCAAGCATGGAGTGGTGTTCAGTAGACTTTCAGAGGAAAGTGTTACAACCGCAGTATGGATGTTAACGGAAAGACTATTCGCTGCTCATAGAATGCAGTCAGCAAAGAAATTAATTCAAGCATTCGGAGACATACCAAGAATTTAATCAGATTTATTTATCACACTAACAAAGAAAAAAATATTAATTGAGTCATAATAGTCCTTTCTACTGACGAAGAACATAGTAATCGGGCATCTGATCCGGAAAATTCATTTCCATTTTGAAATTGAATACACCTGATGAAACCAAAGAACAAAACCAGCTCTTTTGTTATTACTCGTAAAAACTGATTAAATTAGCTTTCACTCCACTTTTATTTATCAGGGAAAGTTTCAGATATTTTATTTTGTTTCGTATTTTAATTTAATATTTTGTAGCTTCGGGTACAAGATTCTGTAATGACTGATTAGGACAGATTTAATGGGTTTTTTTCTTGATAGAGAGTAAAGGAGATATCAAACTGTGGCTAATTGTGCGGAGATTAGAAATCCTAATTGGAGATCACCATAAAAATGAACATAGAGAAATCAAAATAAAAGACATAAAAGTAACGTGCATTATGTTTTTTGGTTTTACTTCGTCTCGCCTACGATTTTAGTGTAACCACGCCATGAAATAACTTTCATATTGAAGTGCTTTTAATCTTCTTTTGTGTAACAGATTAATTTGGTAAATCTGGTTGAGATTGACAAAATGTTCTCTACTCATTGTTAAATTGTTCATGATAATAATAGACAGTTTTTTAAAAAACCAATAAATCTCTTTTTGAGAATGTGGAACAAGCATTCAGTATCCACATTTTAATTCTCTACTACTAAGTTATCTAGACACGGGATACTCTGTTCAGTCTGCGTAAATGATACATCCTGGCATGATGGAGTTGACCAACAAACAGTGGGTACCTATTCCTCTCATGGACATCTCTGGAATTTCTAGGGAGTAGTTGTTTTATGCTCTTATCATATTGTTAATGTTGAATTTACCAGGGGAGATAAATGCAAAATTATTTACAACATGATAAAAGTTTTGCAGTTTTGCATTCAACATCCCCCCCCGCTCCCTGTAAATTCAATATTTACAACATGATAACAGATTGATTTTTCCAGGGAAGTTATTTACCAAAGCAATAACAATACTTGTACTTAAAACACTAACTTCAGGAAATCATTACTACAGATACCCTTTCCATTGCACATTAGATGAGTCGTACTTTACACTCTGATTCGCAAAAAATAATTATCCTTTTATCTAAAATTTGATCTCACTCTCAAATAACTTGTAAGGAAAGGCATAGACCTCGTTTGTTACGTTTTACCTTTGATTTGTCGCCAAAGTTACCGTCATCTATCCCTGTTGAGGTAGAACTGGGTTTTCCTGCCCCTATAAACTGATTCCCAATGCTTGGTACGCTGGTCGGGGTATCACCCTGTGATCTCTCTACTACCGTCTGAATAGCGCGTCTCTTCTCTTCACCCTTTGTTACTCTCGCGGGAGTGGGGTTTTCTGGATACTGTACGTCCTCTTCCGTCGAGGACCGACTGGAATTATTTGGAGAAGCGAGAATCATGGGTGGATAGTTAATGCAGGACATGTTGATCGGAAGGGGCACCGAATTACAGGGAGAATAGGGCCGACCCGTGAGATACATAGATTTCCACCAGGGGTTATAATGCATGCTAAGAGAGCGCAGAATATCGCCATATGGACCGATCACATTGCTGGGGTAGCTGGACTGGAAAGATGAGTGTGTCATTGGTCTTTCTTGAGTTTCAGTTTCCACCATGGTAGATCCGATATATCTGTTAAATTGGTTTACTCCAGAAGGCATCGACTGCAAATGATCATATGAACATTGGTTGAACTGGCCCATTGGTATTGGCGAAGAGTTTGAGGATGCGGATGAACCTAGACTGTGTTGAGTAGTACGCTTACGACATCCTCCATTAAACATTGACTTCACATCCTCCCAGGCATGCTGGAGAGAATCATTTGGAGAAGGATCACTCAGAAGAAGATGGCGTCTCCATGAGTTAAAGTTTGCTGCGTCTGGGTGACGATAACTGGCTGACGGCGTCTTGTGGTAGTGGAATATAAACTTGTTCGGAGAAAAGAATGAATTGCAGAACGAGCACTTGATGCATTTAGCACGAGAACTGTTGTATCTGGAAGGCAGAAACATTCCTTGACATCCCCAACCGCAGGTATGGTAAACCTTGAATGAAAAATTCTCCGGAAGTTTAGGTGGAGGAATTTCCTCTACGAACGACCTTACTAGTCTCTCAGCCTCCCGCTTGGTGATCAGACCACAGCGCCTGGAGGACACTGGCATCGCGCCTGTCCGTCTCAATATCTCTAGTTGTACAGGTGTGCATTGTAAACAGGTGATTCCAAGCGCAACCCTACGGTTGTGGATCTCATTATAACTAAAGTTTCTGAGTAAAGTATTCGAAATCTGGGCCAGACAGAGTCGTTCTTTGCTTTCCACATACAGACAAACTATAGGGACACCAAACAGAACCACCGAACCCACTTCATTGTCTGCTGGACAAGAAGAAGACGACGATTGCTTTGTGACAAAGTCAGAAGAGTGGTTGTCTTGGTACTGAAAATCCATTTCTGATTTCCTATCCGTGGAATCTTCCGAAGTACCTAAAACATTACCAAAACAATTTAATAATCTTGTAACATTCTCATGCTATTAACATTTTGGTCCCAACTAGAACTAGGACTTTTGATGTATTTGACAAAACAGTTTGACGACGCCTCATCATATTCAAGATAAGAAGGAAAGGTATTATAACTTTCAATTTACATGTATGACAAGCTTACCAAAAACCTGGATGGTGGACACGGGGGGAGGGGGGGGGCATGGAATTTATAATTTGGCAAGTTGCCTGCTGCTAACACTTTACCTGGTAGAAACCCATCAGTAAACGATTTTCAAAGATTTGTTGAATTTTCAATATCTGATGAACTTGACGCAAACTTGGGGAATAGGAAAGTGATTTAGGATTTACAATTTTGGTACAAGGCTGAGTGTAAATTATAAATATAAAACTAGTATTTGAGTTAGATATCTAAAAGGAAGGATGAATTGTTTCAAGATGTTTTGTTTTATCAGTATGCAGAAAACCTTGGGTCTGAACACTGGACTTGGGGAATATTTAAATGTACTAATCATATAAACAGTTTAACCATTAAATAAAGACTTGAAAAATATAAAAACAAAAATCCACGCGTAATTTCTGTTATGAAAAAAGGCAAAACACGAACATCAGGAAATGCCAGAATTTGCATAAGGTGCCTAGGACTTAGAAATATCCCACATAGACCGGAAAAGAAACAATTTATGGTTAGGTGTTTTAAATTTGACCAATTATGCTCCACCTTGGACCCAGGAGCCATGAATTTACCATATTGGTAAAGAATTAGTTTTTATTTTTTGCTTTAAAGCAATGGGGAAAATGAAACATATGGAGATAACGAACGGTATTCAAGTTAAAAAAAAAAATCCATAAAACAATACAAAATAGGAACAGAGAAACACGGAACTCCAAAACAATAGAGGTGGGATCAGGTTCCATGGAGGAGTGAGCATCCCCTGCCGATCGGTCACACCCGCCGTGTACTCCTTGTTATGATGGAGAAATAACGGAAAATCCGTCGTCAATTCAGTGTATAAATAATGGACTAATAATTAGTATGAAAAACGTCAGTCAGCATTTGACTCAACGATAAATTGTATTTGCTGACAATGTCATTGTATCGACCATAGAACTTATGAAATGATGACTTTAAACGAGCCTGCTGATCTTCTTGTTTCATCAACTTGTTTATTAATAATTTACTTCGTTTTAGAAATTGTTTGGAGAGCATGGTTTTGCGTATATAAGCTCCGTATGCAGGTGATGAAGGTATCTTGCTGCATAAGTAAGGGAAGTTAACGATTGAAAACTTTAAGTCATCACGTTTATCATAGAGCTTGGCTGTTAGTTTACCATGTACGTCTTTTTCAAGTAAAATTTTCGAATATGAAACAGATGTGTCAGACTGTGGTATATTTTATCACAAGCTCACCAGGATGTATCGTATCGACATAAAAATGGAAATTGTCATTGTTAAATGACAATACGTCGTCGAAATATCTAAATATAGAGTTGAAGGCCACAGCAAATGTTTTATTCTTTTAACGCATACGATTTTGGACAAATTCTATTTCATATGAATACAAATATAGGTCTGCTAAAACGGGGTGCAATTGGTTCCCATGGGAATTCCAATAGATTGTTGGAAGACCTGGTTTCCAAAAACAACATTGTGGATCAGAAACTCAAGAATCTTATTAATGTCAACTTCAGAGTACTTGTGTGTACGATCCGAATGTTTTGGTTTTTTTTTACCAAATAATTTTGCAAATGACCAATGACAAGGTAGGTAAATTTACGAGTTCAGTTGTTATTGAAAAAGCAGCTCTCAATAATATCGAAGAGTCTTAACTTTAATTAATTTATCGTGGGGAATAGTTGTGTATAAAGCTAGAAAAGTCGTAAGTTTTTAAGCTGTTAATTTTGGTAAAATCTTATGTTTTCAAATTGTCCAAAACTCCCTTGGAATTTTTATATATCCACATCTTATTTACACCACTTCTTGAATATATTGTTGCACAGTACTCTTGTATTGTTAGTATCAACAGTAGACATTATAATTACGAACATCTTCAGTTTTTAAATATTATTACACTGTATATTGATTGATTGATTCTATGGTTGTATAACATCCATCTCGAGAATTCATCAGTCATATGGAGACGCCACCACTTGCCGCTGGAGACCTATGCTCGGCACTTAGGGCCATTGAGCAGTAAGGGATCTTTTCCGTGTCAGCGCCTACTGCAACATAGGACCTTGGTTTATACGGTTTCATCCGAATGATCCGTCTTCACGTCCCAAAGTGGGATTTGAACCTACGACGTAAGGATCAACTCCTTACTTTGAGACTCTAGAGCAGACGCTCTAACCACTGCGCAACGCCGGCGACCTGATTATTTATTATTCTCGAAATATAACAGCTATGCTAAACAGAAGTAGTAAAATGTCTCCATTTGGGCAAAATTCCATACTCTATTTCAATATCATTTTATGAATTAACCTTTTTTCATGTAGATTAGGAAGACGACTTTATAATGTTTCTAATTATTTGATTCTTTTCTTATCAAGATTGGTCTCAAAGTTGTGGGGCCCTAATGAATAAAGGTCTTAAAGTTCAAATACTGATAATAAATGAAAAAACAAAGGTCATGGATTGATACAAATTGTTAACACTGTTTATCATTTTGACATTTTTGTCTGCAACTCCCAAATAACAAATTACACTTTTGATGTGCATGTGATTGAGGCGCGTGCATTCCCGCGTTAAATTGATGATATCAATGTATTCATACTGCCACGGTCGTTAGATCGATGATAGCAAAATATGGTGGGAAATAAAAGCCGATTGCCTCCAAACACCAAGGGAGGGCTGGCGCTAAAATTACTGGAATATATTTTAGTCTGAACGCTTAAATTAAGTGGTGAGTGAAAGCATTTGAGTCCGGCTGATACTAGAAGTAATGATCTTGGGAAGGAAACCTACTCCTGATTAAATTCTCTCCGTTAATTGTATGTTTTGAATTTCTTTTGATCACGTTAATAAAGAAATGAATATCTCATAAAAGAAGGTGATCAGATTTTCACGGCGAAACATTTGTCATTACCTACAAATGAATTTGTAGTCATCATAGACAGTTTTCCCTAAGCGCCATTACTTTTGTTCGTTTATTTTTCATCATACAAATTAGTTTTATTGTAATTTTAAATTCTCAATGGTACTTGCTCCGTTCTTTGGTTACTTTCCTCACGATTTCTTTCTTAGTTTTTATTTAAATTGTGCTGAAAATAAATAATATTGAATGGTATTTTCCCGACGTTTTTATATAAATTTGTCTTATGAGATAGAAAATTTAGGTGAAACGCACTTTTTATCTATATAAACTGTATTTCTTTGACGTGAAAAATCTTTTTTTTAAAACGTTTAAAAAAAAATTACAATCTAACGTAAATATTCGACATTCATAATCCTTGCGTCAAAAGAGACGGATAGATTTAGCTATAACACAATGTTTTAAGAAGAGAAAAGAAGAGAAGAGAAGAGTCTTCTCTGATATTCATCTTAAAGCCACAACAATGTATCTAAACAAATTCAAAAATAGTTTTCAATAAATTAATTTCAAGTGCATGAACATTATAGGTTCTTGTAAATCACTATAAGAATTTTATTTCTCATTCTATAGAAAATAAAATTCTGTTTTAATACTCATTTATTAAAGGATTAGAAAACATTTTGGATTTATTTTCTTGTTGACGTATTAATCGGCAATAATTTAAGTCTGTCAAGTTTTATTGAAAATGAAAAGCATATTTATGACTTTTTATTGCCCAAAATAGGTGTTTTATTTCAAATTACTCTAATTGAAGACTAACTGAAATGAAAAAATCAATTCTTCATTATCTTCTGAACAATGTTAGAGGCTTAAAAAACTATAAAAGACAATTAAGACTTGATTTACTGCATTTAATATTTTTAAATCGTAATTTATACACGGGAACATATATAACGTATTTGCTGGTCCAATCTACAATACCTGTACATGTCTATCGTTTGTTTTCAAATTCAATGAAGGTACGGTAGATCAATTTTTCCATGATCTAAAATGATAATTTTTAAACTGAAAAATAATTGTGGTAAATTATAAATTTTTAAAAAGTCACTTAGTTTTTGAACAATTTTTTTTCAAATTTAGACACAAAACAAAACATTTTACAGATAATTTTGAAGTGAAAATATAGAAGAACTAAAGAACGAAAAGTGTTTAAAATTTGAAAATATTGTTAAACTGCTATAACAGGGAGCGATTGATTCCCATGGATACAGTGTTGGAATACTCCGAAAAGCACATATATTGTAAACCAGGGTCCCTTTTTACAAAAAGAATTTACCACTAAGACTTAAAACTTTAGTTGATTGTAAAATTTTGCAAAATAAATGATTCTGCCAACATGAAAGTAACTTTTTAATACCCTTTTAAAAAGAAGATTTTTTTTATTATTGAGAATAATATAGTTACATTTTGGTAATAAGCCGTAAATTCTTTTGTAAAACGGCCCCCAGAAACTCAAGCTTCTCTTTAATAGCAATTTCAGAGTACTTCTATGTACAATTCCGAATTTTTCCCAAAAACTTCTGCAAATGCCCATTGCCAAGGTAAATTAATTACGATTTCTATGTTTACCGAAAAAAGCAGTTGTTATTGATGACAAAATCCTGGCAAAATGGTTGTATATTATATATACAATTAAATATGTTTCTTCTTCAAACGGTTGTTAAAAAAATAAAGAAAATTAAATTTTGTCAGGGATGTAGAATCAACATAGGGATGAAAATGCATGTGAATTGATTAACGTCAATGATTTGTATAAATGTTGAACAATGTACATGTAAAGAAAGTATGTTGAAAACAAACAATCAATGTCGTTTTTATCTTTCTGTGTATACATTGACAGTTAGCCATTTATGGTGAGAACCTCGTAAGTTGTTAGAACTTGTGTTCAAACCATTTGTATATTATCTAAACAATTAAATATGTTCAAACAAAAAATGAATTGAAGGTCATAACAAAAATTTTTCCTTTTTAATAGAAGTTAAAAAGAAATGTTTTCGTCATCATATGAATACAAAAAAAGATCCTTTTACAAGCCTTGTAAATTCCAACATATTCCTGGAAGGCTACATAGATATTTTTAATTAGAGAGCTTCGGCACCTTTTAACTATCAACGTCGGAGTACTTATGTGTCCATTGTTTTATAACAAAATAATTTTGCAAATGACCAATGACAAAATAAGTTAAATTACGGGTTCCATATTTTTGAAGAAATAGACCCTGTCTTTGATATTTAAGGGCCTGGATTTTAATCTTACGAAATATTTTGTATAAAGTGTTGTGAAGTCAGTCGTATATTTGATAGAAAAATTATTGGTACGAAAAGAAAGGGTTTAAACTTTTTTTGTGATCGGCTATATTTCTTGAAACCCATTGATTCAAACTTTTACAGATGTTTCATATGTTTTGTCACATTATATTTTTCTTGAATAATTCTGAACAAACCTCGGGAATTTCCGGAAATTCACATTTTATGCCTTAGCTGTTCAGATTTGCTTCGATTCTTTTGATTGATCAATGTTTGTTTTCTTCGCTGTTTTTTATTCTTTATTTGTCTAATTGTAACTAATTGATCATATATCTCTATGTGCTTCTGGTTAATTTTCAATTTCTAAATAGCAGTTAATATTTGTACCTTCGAGAGAAGAAAAGTGATGAAGAGATATTTCGAACTCTGACTGAAATCTTTATGGTAATTTCAGTAATTACATGTAGTTGTTATTCTGGTTTTTCTTCCTCAAGAAATACGAAATCTCCTGTAATATTGTTTTTCTTAATTTTTTTCAAGGGGTGAGGGATGGGGGTGGGGTTCGAAAAACAAAAGCTTGATTCCCAGAACTTCTTATATTTAACGCAGGTGCAAAACCGTCTTTTTAAATATGTTTAATTGTGTCGTGACTCCTGACCCTTCAGGACATACGCAGTGTACCTTACCTACTTTTTCAAGATATTCTTAATTTAAGATGATAGTGCTGTCAGATGTTCGTAGCATTACAAGGGGTTTTGAAAAAATATCAAGTAATGAAAATTCTTATATAATTAAAAAAAAAAAATATGCAAAAAATACTAAGCATATCTTCTTAGTATTTTGTATATCCAAACTTGTTTTAAAAGAAGTGTACAATAACATATACATGTATTAATATGGACAATAAAATGTAGCACACAGTTCCTTCAAGTATTGGAATTCTTCAACTCCAGGGGAAAATTTGATTAAGTTCAAACTATGTTGTGTATGTCCTAAAATAAAAAAAAATAATAAATAAAATTTCGTTTTTAATATAGTATCAAGAAACAAAATATATAATATTCATTTTTAATCAGAAATTATGTTCCAAAAGTCTAAAATCTGTAAAATATTCAGAATTAAAACCTCCAATAAAATTTGTTTCATTTTCTTTATTATTTCAAGAGATATACAAATTTAATAGCTTGAATTAAATCTGTTCTGATTTTATCATCTTATCACCTAATTTTGGTACAAACATTTTCTGTTTTAAAAATCTAATATTAAAACAGAATGGATGCTCTACTCATAATTTTAGATTCATATTGATAAGAAACATGAAGTACTAATAAAATAGGTTCATGTGCCACACCAGTTTCTGCTCAATTTGTTACATGTATTTAGAAATAAAGCATGAAATTACTATAATTTATTGTTGCCTTCTTCAATAGCTTTCCAGGTACAATGAACCATAATTTTAGAGATAAACACAGTTGCGCGGGTATAAATGTCTTACGACTACCTCTTGTTCTGTACTTGTTTATGGTGGTAAATACAATACAAACTACATGTATGAAGTTCATGAAACGATAAGGCTGAAGAACCACAAAGGAATACTTTAAAAAGGCTGTAAAGTGTCATTTGTCTATAATTCTCAAAGGCAAGTGCACTGTAGAAAAATGTGTAATTTGTTATTTCAATTGTGAAGAGAGTCCACTCTGGATATTCCAAAAAAAATTTGGTCGTGTTGTGGTGTGAAATGGAAATGGAAAGCAGACAGTATCAAAAAGACGTCAATGGTAATCTAAAAACCAAGCTCTATGATAAACATTATGACTTTGAATTAAATTCCAGGCTTTTTTATATCACTGACGACTGCTTTTTCAATAAAAATGGAACTAGTAAATTTACTTACTTAATCATTGGTCATTTGCAAAAATATTTTGTTAAAACATATTCTGAATGCACATACAAGTACTCTGAAGTTGACATAAAAGAGATGCTTAAGTTTTTGATTGATAATATCTACGTGGTTTTCCAACAATCTATTGGAATCCCCATGGGTACCAATTGCGCTCCGTTATTAGCAAACCTATTTTTGTATTCATATGAAGCAGAATTTCTGCAAAATCTTATGCGTGAAAAGAAGAAAACACTTGCTGTAACCTTCAACTCGACATTTAGATATATCGACGACGTACTGTCAATTAACAATGGTAATTTCCATTTCTATGTAGATATTATACATCCTGGTGAGCTAGAGATAAAAGATACCACAGAGTCTGACGCATCTGTTTCCTACTTGGATAATTTACTTGAAAAAGACATTAATGGTAATCTAACAACCAAGCTTTTCTATCGTCAACTTCCCATATTTATGCAGCAATAAACCTTCATCACCTGCATACGGAGTGTATATATCTCAGTTGATTCGATACGCAAGAGCATGCTCTACGTATGAACAATTTCTAAAACGTGGTAAAGTATTGTCAAACAAGTTGATGAAAATAGAAAATCAGCAGTTTCATTTAAAGTCATCATTTCGTAAGTTCTATGGTCGGTACAATGATCTTGTCTGCAAATACAACTTATCATTGAGTCAAATGCTGACTGATGTTTTTCATACTAATTGTTGGGCCATTTTTATACACTGAATTGACGACGGATTTTCCGTTATTTCCCGATCATGACAAAGAGCAAACGGCGGGTGTGACCGGTCGGCACTGCCGCAGGGAATGCTCACTCCTCCATGGCACCTGATCCCACCTCTATTGTTTTAGAGATTCGTGTTTGCTCTGCTCCCTTTTTGTATTGTTTTATGGACTTTTTTTATCTTGAAAATTGTTCGTTATCTAGATATGTTTCATAATACAGCTGGTGTACCATCTGTACAGAAAAAAATCAGATAGTCAGCATATCTGTCAAATGGACACTTACCTATACCTTCGGGTCACAAAACTATTACTAGAAGTATGCTTTTTGTACTGAATTCTATTTTCTTTGTTTAATGCAAAAATAAGCTGCAAAGCCTATCTTAACCAAAATGTCTATCTAGTTTTCCAAGATTTACAAATCTTCGAATCTAAATATATTTATATAAGTTTTTCTTACAATAACCACTATAAAGTGAAATCACAATTTTGTAAAATGACAGACTCTAGAACTTTTCATTTAAACCATATTTCAAGAATTTTGAGAATGTTTTGGAAAAAATATCATTGTGGAAATACCTTTCTTAACACCCTTTTTAATGAATAATTTTAAAGTCTTTGACAAAAATAAATCAAAACTCTATTTTTGCAGGATAAACAATTGGTTCAAAATATTTTTTCAATAGATACATGTATATATACAATGCCTTTTCCGTATGTAAGTAAAAGTTATTTCCAAGAAAAGATATTTTTACTCGTGAAAATTATCAATGTAAAAGAAATTAAAGTGGAATTTCACAACATTTTTAAACCTTATTTAAAGCATATATACAGAGTTGATGTTCTTGGTAGAAGCACAACCTATATTCGTTGAAATTACAAAACACAGTAAAATATCAAATAGATTCACACCATAAATGTTTGGAAATGTAATTTTCTTCGATTTCTTTATTGAATTACTTGGATGCTTAAGAACTTAATATCAAGTTAAAACCTGAAATTGCCCAACTTTGCATGGTTAAGAGTTGAACATTATTTCTTTCTTACATACTTTTTTATTAAGCTCTACGTAAGACAACAAAATTATCTATACTGATTTACTAATTCTGTTATTATTTACATCGAGTATTAGAACTGCAAATGTCGTAACAAAAATACATTCTTTTAATTGACTTATAATTCGTATTAAGAAATATTTCGGATGATTATATTGACAAAGTGTTTTTACTCGTATATAACACTATAATAAAAAATAAAAATATATATACATATATTTTTGTATTTTTTCTATTTACTGAACATTCTGCTTATTTTTTAAATATAGATCTGTGAAATAAATTGTGTTTTTCAAACACTGAACAATTATCAATGCATGGATAATTACTATGAAATTTGGGCGGTTGTAAGTAAATGTACAAAAGTTGTAAAATGCCCATTAAATTAATTTCAAATGTTTCCTTCAGATAAATTAAAGTAATTTAGTAGTTCACCTTCTTGAGGTTCTCTCGATGACTCTTATGAAATATTTCTGTATACTTTTCTCTTGTTTAAGATTTTTTCCTTACCTTTTCTCTCTTCCCATGGAGACATCATGATATTATGGCTGTTCTCCATCAAAACGATTCTCTCATAAACTTGCCTATGAACTACGGTTTGGGATGATAATTGAAGAGAAATTTCATTTGTTTTATAATATTCCTCATCATATGATTCCCCATTCATTAGTTGGCTACTGCGCGTGTCTCCATTGTGCCGAGAAAACTAGTGACAGATTGAGAACACGCCCCTTTCTCTTTTACAGTGGGGTTTCTGGATGAAGTAACAAATTTTATATTACAAGGAGTTTTACGACAAAGCTATCTGTGTAAATCTGTAAGATTTAAAAAGCAGATATGTATTTATTTATTTTCAAATCTCAGAAATCAAATGAATTATACATTTTTACAAAAAGAAAAAGTGAACTGCCGAGGAAAATTACACAGCGATATTTTTAAAATTGAAATAAAATCTTCCTTACCTATAAAACAAATTTATTTCTCTTTCTTTCCAAACATGTTTAAAATTCAAATAAGAAACACAAAAGATGAAACTATCAAATATTATTATATAAAAGCACGAAAAACGGAGGTTCTGCAAACAGACATGTACAAAAAATTACATGCAAAATGATATTGCTTATTTTCAGCATTAAATATTGCATTACACGATTTTGAATATTGTTATAATATTTTTTTTCAAACACCTAATGATAATACATGTTTTTTATATACAACTACAATAGTGTTAATAGTATAAAATATTTTACCTGATGTGTACATGAAAAATGTAGCTAACTTTCCTTATACGAAGTGCATTTTGGCTGCTCTGTAGAAATTTAACACTTATTTAACTAGTTATCCTTCTCTCTTACACAATGTAGGTTAGCCTAATAGTGTGATGTGCAGCACCTCTGCCTTTTTTTTTTTTTTTTTTTTTTTTTAGACATTTCATTAAATATATTTCAAAGACAAAACCTTTGAAAACATAATCTATATGTAGGATCATGCGTAAAGTATGTTTGGAGGACCAAGGGGGTTGTCCCCCTCGGCACACTTTTTTGTCCAAATGTACTTTAAATTACAAACGAAAATGGTAAATAAATACTTTCTTAGGCCCCTATATTTTCTGTAGCATATTTATAAAGCAATATGAGCTGCAACTTTGATGTCAAAATTTTCTGTTGAAAAATTCTCATTAACTATTTCAAAGACAGAGAAAAAGAACATTTATAAACTTGTGTTGTTTTTTTGCAAACGAAGAACTATTTACAAGCTCTTCATCATTTAAATTAATGATACAAATTTACATTATTGTCATCCTGTACAACATTGTTTTCTTAATTAATACTTAATGTTTGATTGTACAGAGGTCTTTCTTTTGATACAACTTAATACTTTGTTTTAGTCTTATTGATCATAAAGATTTGATTTGATTTGAATATATTTTTTTATGTAATAAATACATAAATGGATTGGGCAGCAGGCCTAGGCTATGTAAACCCCTTCCATAGGTACAATGTACAATGTTAATTAATACAAATAATACTACATATAGTTACAGGTTCACATTTTGAACTTTCACTTATATAATCTTTCTGTAAATCAGCATTTAAACTACTAGCATTAATTCTAAATTGACAATGCATAATATTATTTTGCTGTAGCAGAGTTAAATCATGGTAGCTAGTTCATAGATTTCTAAAACAAGGCAAGCTATTGACAAACACGTTGATGAAACAAGAATATCAACAGTCTCGTTTAAAGTAACGTTAATTATTTTGATTATGGTAGATACAATGACATTGTCCGCAAATGCATTCTATTAATAATTCATAAGTATATTTATGTATATAAAGGAATTTTTTTATACTACAATTTTAGACGTATTTTTATTTACACATTTGTGTGAATAATCTAGGATTTTCCAGTTTCGCCTGTCATGGCTAAGGATCCTTATCAAAATAACTTTTGGCTCAGAAAATGTGGTTTTTCAAATTTTACCCACCTCCACCCCTAAATCCTCCATACCTATTGTTATTGTAGAGAATACATGTACTAGTTTCTTTTGTATGAGGTTCCTATTGTTATTGTTGTAGAAAATATACATGTATGTACTATTTTTCTTTTGTATAAGGTGTGGGATATTTTTTGGGCCCCACCTTCTGCTGCATTCTGAAATTGTAAAATATGTAATCTCATTTGGCATTTGTAATAAATGCTCTATACACACACACCCTCTCTTTATTATTTAACATGCTTGATAATTTTGATAATTTTCTTTTCTTTAAGAAATAATAAACTATGTTTTTAAATCTTATTGCTCAAAGAGCAATTGCCCAGAAAAAGAGGTAAAATTTTAAAGTTCGTGTAAAAATTTATAAATTTCAAACTATTTATATCATTAACCTTTTTTATTTTTTAAAAAAGACTGCTTTGTTTTGTGCTTGCTTTACACAAGTTTAAAAATCTCTTTTGATTTCAAAATTAAGTTTCAACAATTCAAGTGAATAGCCCAGGAACAAAAATTTAGTTTTAAAATATTTTTTTCAAGAATTTTTAATATGATATTCTTGTTATTCATCTGTTTTGCAATATAAAGTTCATTCTAAGAAATTAATTTTTTGCTGAGTACTTTGATTTTTTGTGCCATTATTTACACAAAAATACAATTATATAGAATAACACTCGAAATAGCAGGTTTTTTTCTAATCCCATACACACAAAAAATGTTATGTTTCATGTTTAATAATTTTGATAATTTTCTTTTCTTTAGGAAATGGTAAACTATGTAAATCTTCTGTAAGAAAAAGGTTCAAATTTCAGATATAAATTTCAAACTATTGACAACCTTTTTTATTTTTTAAAAAAGAGTAATTGGCTTTACACAAGTTTAAAAATCTCTTGTGTTCAAAATTAAGTTTCAACAATTCAATATACACAAAATTTACAATATGATCACTCTAAAAAAAGTTATTTAATAAAATGTTTTATGTCTTGCAAAAAATAATTGTATTGTGTGGCATTCTGAAGAAGGGAGTACTTTTAATGCGTATGAACTACAAAACGTATTTCTCCATTCAGTGAAAAGAAATTAAATCAAGACTTAATTTTTATGGATACGATTTTAACAAAATAATTGAAATAAATAACGTTATTTCATTGAGACATTGTAAATGATATGAAACTCATTATAATGAACCGGAGAAACTGGTGTTTTAGTAAACCATTCTGTTTTTGTGGCATCCATTTAATTTACTGTTTTAATAAATGTCCAATACCAACAACAAATGTTCATATTTTACATACTGCAGAGAAAAATAAAGAAAACTGCTGTAGTTTATTGAATCAATAAATTGCCAGAGCGCTTACAGACAAATCACTGTTTTGGAGATGTTATGGCATTAAAATGTCTCATGAAGTACGAAAAAGACGAAGGAATAGAGGTATTGAAAATCAAAATGGTTTCTCGGTAATTAAGGTCAGATGTAGCAAACAATTTTTTTCTTTGGAGGAAACTTAAATATCATGTCACAGGTTTAGAAAAGTGGACAATTCTTAGAATTTTTTTTCTCCTAAGAACTGGAAAATGAAATAGACTTGGAAAATATTAGTGATATTTCAATAAAATTACAAATATAGACAAAACACACACAGAAAAGGTTTACAGATGAAAACAGATTTCAGAATATGTTAGATTGGTGCTAAGCGTGTAATATAAACTTTAGAAAAATATATCAAGCCAGGTGAATTTTATAAGGAAAAGCAAATCGGTAAAAATCAGCCTATGTGATATTGCTGATTTTTTGTCATTTTGTTTTTCAAAAAAAAAAAAAAAAAAAAAAAAAAAATTACCTGGCTTGATATATATTTTTTAACGTGAATATTACACTTTTAGCACCAAGTTAACATATTCTGAAATTTGTTTTCACCTATATATTTACCTTTATTGAGTGTGATTGCGCCTTATTTTTAACAGATTTATTTTGGTATTAATTTGAAGCAAAATTTAATCCAAATTTTATACATGAGAAGAAAACACGTACTGTGGCCTTCAGCTCAACATTATTTTAGATAAATCGATACTATTAATTAACGATAGTTATTTTAAATTTATTTGTCAACTAAGATATTCCATCCAAGTGAGATTGAAATGAAAGATGTTATAAAGCTGAGACATTTGATTCATATAAGGATGAATTAACTATAAAACGATATTTTTAGTGATCTAAGAATAAAACTTCATGCTAAATTTTATGACTTCTGCTTTGCTATTGTCAGCTTTCCTTACTTATGAAGGTTTATATCCCTACCACCTGCATATAGGGGTTCTGTCTTTCTTCAGCATGTATAGCCTGCCTAGTTATAAAAAATAGACTGTACCAAGAGCAAACAAGTTGATGGAATATCAAGTCTCATTTATTGTGATCATTTCGCAAGTTCTGTGATCAATACAATTAATATATATCGGACATTTTAACATTTGTACTCGTGTATTTTATAGTTAAGTATCCATACATTTTTATGTAGCGTGCAGTATTTACGTGAGAAGCAAGCTAAAAAAAAGGTCAAAAAAGGATACGAGACAATGTGTTCCAAACGTATTGTTCATAGTTGTAATATACATTCTTATCTGCAAAATCTTAAACGAGGGTGCTTTTGATTGGCATTCGGCAGGAATCTGGGCGTAATTGAAAAGTGAAAATTTTATCGACATGTCACATGAAATTTTAACATTTTTTTTTATTTATTGGGATCCTGTGCAACAAGAAAGGAAAATATTTTCCCGAAATTGAGCTTTGATTTGCTAAAAAATAACTTGAAAATTGGCCAGATCAGACATTTGGTACAAAATGGTACATTTTTAAACACGTTTTTCATAAATTTTTCTATCTGTAGGTCTTCTCTCTATGATTTTGAAACGTTATTTGTGTGTATTTTAATTCAAAGAAACGAATACACTTTTTTTAAAAATGGAGAAAAGACCCAGAGATCACCAAAAACGTACTCCCCCCCCCCCAAAAAAAAAAATTCCAAATGTGTGAATGTGGTGATTCTTTGTCCTTTTAAAATCTCGTGTGTAAGTGTAGCGGTGATAGCTCAGTAGGTTGGGTTAATTGTTTAGTGCAATGAAATCGAAGTTTTTAGTTCGAGCCTGGCATCATCATGGGCGTTAATTTTTTTTCATGCAAACAACCATTTATTTTTCGTTTTATGTACTAATATAATAAAATTTTGAATTAGATTAATTTTGGTTCAGTTTGGTTCTCGAGCGAAATCAATTCTAATCTTCTACTCTATATAATGTATATGTACACGTATCATGCATCTATTAAATAATTTAGGTGTTTATTTCTTGTGAAACATTACTATGTTATAGTACCCCTAAGGAAAAACGGACAAAAATGTTACAATCTCACAATTTCAAACTAATATTGAAAAGAAAACCCATGGACGTGTTTGTACACTCTGATAAGCTATGTTCAGCCAACCAAATCATGAACATTTAAACCATAAATGTTTCGTACAAATGATTCCTGCAGATCACACTGCCAAATGCGCCTATCTTCTTTCATCAAATAACTTGTAAGTCATAACTAAAAATCTTGTTATATATATATATACCTATGCTTGTTATCAAAAGATTTTTTTAAAAATTATCAATTTTTTGAATTTATTGCATTTCCAAATGTGACACATTCTGGGGTATAAAATAGTTTTTGCCCTGTCCGTCTGTCTGTCTGTCTACCTGTCTAACTTAACCTTGCCTATTACTTTTTGATTGAGAGGGGCTATGGCTTTCATATTTCACGTGTATTTTTGTGGCAAGACCTGTTTTGGGGTACCGCCAAATTTGACCTCTTGGCCTTGACCTTTGAGTTTGACCCACTTTTACAAATATTAACAAAATTTAAAACGTTGTCATAACTTTTAAGGGGTTAGTACTAGGGCTGTCACACTTGCCATGTGTATTTCTCGTGACAAAACCTTTCTTTGGGCACCACCAAGTTTTACCTTTTGACATTGGCCTTAGAGTATGACCCACTTTAAAAAAAATTCAACCTTGGTCATAACTTTTGAGCAGTTAGTACTTGGGCTTTCATATTTCTCTTATGACAAGATCTTACTTTGGATACCAACAATCTTTGTCCTTTGAGTCCGACTTGAGAAACTTGAACCCGCCTCATAAGCTAAGATATGGGGGCATCAGTGTGTGTCTTGTTTTTATCGGATAAAAGTGTAGTATGAAGTATATCAAAGTGATATCTTGTAACAGTGTTAAAGTAAGTAAGAAAGATATTTGCTGACATGTCATAAAATAGATATAAGAAACTAATTCATCCTGATAGAGACAAAAAATTCCAATTTCAAATGTGTTTACTATCAATATAAAGATGTCGCATAAAAAGCGTGTCTACTGCATTTAAAATCCAAAAATTCTTTAATAAAAATATCTTTTTATTTTGCATATAAATAGCTTTTGTAATATGTTTATCAATTTAGCAAATAAATGACAAGATAATGATCATGGAATAACAATTACCGAAAGTAAATCAATAGATTTCGAATACGAATTTTGGGTTTACTAAGTGAATGTGATTAACAAAAATTTGAAAAATATAATCAATTAAAACGAAATGTTATAAAATATTTGAACGATTTTATTTTCAAACTTCAGTCTACATTAAGCATCTCTCTTTTACCTAGATATTTGATATTTGGAGTATGAATATCTCATCATGCTTCAATTCGTTGTTAAGTGCTAAATATGCCTTGATGTCATACTTCAGATTAAAATTATTTGATTAACTCCTACATTTTTGTGATAAAGTTTCTCCTTTCTACACTTCAACTTCGGATTTGCCTACACGTCAAGGATGAAATATTCCGACACACTACATAATTTATTGTGAAGATACAAGAAAAATTAAAAGAAACATGGTCTCCAATATTTATTAACTAAACAATACAACATAACATTACTTCATTTGACAAGTGGGCATTTTTATGTATTATTTCCCTATGCAGCAAAAGTTGTAAAATAATAGTGTATGTGATTAAATGATAAAATACATTGTAAATTTCATTTTATTAAACAATATCCTTATAAACAATAGACATAAAACAACATACACATAAAATATATCTTTGGAATGTGTACGATATGTTGTGACTATACATGACAGAACAGAAACTGAAGACAATGCAAAATATATATAACTTACAAATGCCTTCAAAAATCAAAGAACTGGTAAGTCTCATAATTCTGATTGCAAAGTCAAGAAAAACAAACCTCAGAAATGTTCAACCAAGTTAATTAAAGCTTTCATTAAATGAAATTAATCAGGAAGGACATACTTCTGGTTTTATCTTGTATCAGTTAAATAGAAAAATCAAAAATAAATCTGTAATCGCAGTTAACTTTGGAAAATAAAGATTTTATGCAGTCTTTCCTCTTTAGGAACAACCATCAAAATATTATGATCAACTTCAAAGCGTAAATGACACCAAAAAGTCAATGATACTTAAAAATAAAGCTCAATCATCAATTATACATATTTTTTCAGGAACCATAACTACAGTAAAACAAATATAATCACTACCAAAGAGGTGAACATATAACAATATAAAAAAAGTCAACTCAGGCTTGTACATTACATTAAAGGCTCCATCAAAGGAATTTTTTAGTTTGTAGAAAGTTTAAAATTGACCAAATGCTGGGGTTTTTAAATCCTAAATGATGTTGCCTGTGAAGAACAACCTTACAAGTTTTTGTTTAAAAAAAGTGTTAAAAAATGTTTTCCAAAACCACTTTTTCAAGTAATTGTTATTACATGTCCAAATGGTATTTATTAGCAAAATAATATAAAAATAATTTCACTGTTTATGAAGTGCAAGTTTTCATTAAATTCAGATTAAAAATAAAAAATAATATATTTTGATATATAATGCATTTCATAAACATCTGAATTTAAATATCGTTTAGCAACAGAAGGATCAAAAGGCTTGTAGTTTTAAGAAGAATCACCTTTGCAAAGGTGCATTTTCCTCAATTAGTTAGTATATGGAATATTTTTTTAATTGGAAAATTGTTGAAATTTTGACCATTGTTTGAGGTATTGTACTTCTCAGGCCACAAGTTTTGAAACATTTTCAACATTCAGCAATTCTTTAAACAGTTTCTACAAAGAAAAAATGACCTTTATGAAACCTTAAAAACTTGATCAACAGGGCTTGCACAAATAGATTTTATTTCAACATAGGCACACTGTATCTATAAATATAGATAAGGGCAATGATGATCAGTAACCAATCAACACACTGACGAAGATAACTCTAAAGATGGACGCAGTTCCTTTAGTCACTTTTTGTTTTGAGAGTTGTCTCTCTTTGTTGAAAAGCAAACGATGTGAACACGTTGTGGAATACCCTGGGATTACTTTTCAAGAAGGAGGGTGAAAACGAAATTGAAATACAACTACATTTGTAAAAAAAATAAATCGGCAATGCTTACAAACAAAACAGTAGAAATGAAGGAAAAAAAGAAAATTCATTTAAAAAAAGGAGCTCAAGCTTAGAAATGGAGCTCGATATATATTTTCCATAAGAAAAACATAAAACGACAGAATTGGGGTAAAGGTCTCAATGATTGAAATGATACATGAACCGATGATTCTGTGAATGAAGTGAAATATAAAGGGCGTTTTGCGTACTATGCATTCTGCAGTAATGCAGGGCGATCATTACACTCCATACATAGATAAACCGTTCTGTTGTGCATTTTGGACTTTGACCTGAAAAGAGGAAATCAATTTAAAATATTAAGTACCTTTTCCTCATGGATAATATAAACTTTCATTGGTAATTTTGCTTTCAATAGGACATTCATTTATCAAAAAAATTTAATGGAAAAAGAAAACACTTTCAACATAATTTAAGATAACACTCTAATGAGTATATACACTGAAAATATTAATATGGTTTGATAATCAATACGAAAAACAAATCTGCTTCAAATACTTTTTATAATAAAAATAACGTTAAGTTACCTTTCCGAGGGAAACTTCTTCAATTAGTTTGACTACTTCGTCACACTTTTTATCAATGGCTCGTTCCTTTAATGACGTCATGGAATGTCCGCACTCCATCATTGCGCACATTGGATCGTTAGGGTCACATTTCTGATACTACAATTAAAGAAAAAAGGGCCTATAAACAACAAATACAAAGCTCACTTCAGTCACAGGTGCCTGTGGACAGGATCCTTCTCCTAATATCCAATGTTGTTGGACACTTCCTTCAAATAATTATAATATCTACTACACTTATGAACTGTGCATTACATACGAAAAATAGGGTTAAACCCTCATAATTATCGTTCCACACAAATACACCACCCCCACTATTATATATGAGAGAAAAAAAACTCTATATTTAGACTTTTTAACTCATTTTACCCACAGATGCTTAGTGCTAAGTTTCGTTGAGTTTAGCTCAGTGCTCCTGGGAAAGAAAACAAAAATATTAAAAGTTTGCAGACGATGGTGAAATAGACGGACGGCACTCAACTGATGATAAAAAAATCTCACTTGTGCGCATGGTACTGATAAAATAAAAATGATTTTTTTAAAGTCCATCAATAAAAAAAGAATCGTAAAATTAACGATTATGATATATCATGATAAGTTGATATGCGAAACCCCAGTATCAGTTTTATACCCGTTGTGTACGGTTATCAGTAACATACCTGTTTATAAATGTCTGTCTTGAAACCGTTAGTGATGAGGAACTTGGCAATATCTGTCTGTTTGTTGTCTACACAGTCGAACAGCGTAGAGCTATATCGTGTGACGTCACCAAAGGCCTGCAGACCGGACATTAGACTCTTCACCGTCTCAAAGTCCCCAGTCTGTAAAACGTTTGAAAAAGTGGACTAGAAAATTATAATCATTATTTATCAGCAAGCTGTTAAGTTTTTCGGAGCGAGGATTTTTAAAATGTTACATGTCCTCCTTGTTTTTAAAAGATTTTATGTCACGAATGCAAAATTTTAAAACAGGTCTGACCAATTTCTTTATACATGCATGTGAAAATCGAGATTGGTAACTCATTGCTACGTAGATTGGCTTATTGTATATATTCAGCATCCGAAACAATTCAAGAGTGTGCATTTTTTAGAAGTACAATTGATGGAAATTTGGTCAATATAGGGCTTATAATTACTTGGAATTAGAAAAACGTAATTGAAATATTTTAAAGCTATCCTTATTGTGTTTAGTAGACATAAATCTAAAGAAAAGTTTAATCCTTTAAACAACACTTTCTTGTCAAATGTATTGCGAACATATGATCATAACTCATAAAATAAATGTCTTTCGATTTTACTTGACAATGCCTACTAAATTCACACAATTGTTGGTTGTAATACGTCATTACTAAAGGGTGTGTATTGACAAAATTGACAAGTTTAAGGAAATAAACGTTTTAACTGGTAATAGAGCAAAGAAGTCAAACTGACTGGAAATTTCATCACCGATTTTGTGATCAGGTTGAAAATTTGAATTGAATGGTTGAAGGTTTATGCAAAATTTATTTACGTTCAGTTTGTTAAATTTCTGCACCCATTTTCATCCATTCATTTATTTTTTGAAAATAAAAAGAGATCTAGTTATCACTTGACATAAAGGAGTTCTGTTTATTAAGTTTTTCTGCTACACGTCTGGGGGAAGTTATAACATTTTTCATGAATAATTTGTAATTTCTTGAAGATTTCTACATTTTTTATATGTTTAACCAAAGCTAAATTTTAATTGTGCATCAAATGCCACTTTAAGTCATCTATTAATTTTGAAGAGTTTGAAAGTGTATATATTTTTGGTATATACAAATTGGTTATCAATCCATGGGCATCTGATAAATCAAATAATTAAAAATAAAACAAATATAATTATCGGGCATGCTTTTACATTCGTATACTTTTTTTTCGTAGGCGGAAGAATTTAGCAAATTGATTGATTGATTACTTTGTTTAAGAATAAATGTTATAATTTTACCCCAAGTGGTTCAAATCCGTAAAAAGAGACAATAACTTCTACAAATTGTTTATAACACATTTTATGATTTATATCCAATCTATATTTATTTTTAAATAAAAAATTTCATTTTATTATTTAGAAAGTATAAAAAGTTCCTGAAACGGTATTCCCAACAAATCACTGACAAACGTAATAAAATATACCGTGAAATCACTCGTGGATGTTTAATTTTCGTGGTTTTCAAGGTATGAAGAGTCCTACAAATTACATGTATGTCCACCACGAAATGCATTTTTTCACATATATTACTGCTGAAAAATTTTTCAACTGCGAAATCAAATCCCGATGAATCAATATATTTTCCTCAAACCACGAAAATTGACCTTTTAGTATATGATAAATATTTGATTTAAAACAGTAGTTCAAACTTATCATAATTTTTAGATAGGCATATCTACGTTTAACTACTGAATGGTCTACATTAATTTCTAAAACTAGATCAAAGGTTAGCTATCAGTCATTAAATCCTCTAAATGAACTTTTCCCGTTATCTTGTGTATCTAGCCTCAACTGTAAGAAGTATATGTTTGGACCTGTATTGCTGTTTTGAAGGTCTGCTCGAAATCACTGTCCGTCAGATAAATGTTGAGATCAAACTCCTCCACCTCTTTTTTGATCCGCCCAAAATCCTGGGAGCCACACTTCTCAACGGAAAGGTCTGCAGCTAAACGACCAAACTGTTAACATCATACAAAACATTATTTAACAGTACATTCATAAAATGAAAACCTTCTGTCAGAAGCTTACATCAGTTTACATTCTATTCTTTAAAGGATTTTTTATATGAGGAGAACATGTGACTCATATTTAACTAAGGCCAAAATTTGATCATGCACAATAGTCCATGTAAACAATTCAGATCAGAAGCAGAGATAACTCTGACCTCTAAAACATCAGAGGTGGCATCAGGTGCCATTGAGTAGTAAGCATCCCCTGTCTATCGGCACAACCGCCGTGTTCTCCGTGTCAGGATTGGGGAAAAGGAAATATTTCAAAAACAATTTGCTAAGAAAACTAGTATGAAAAACATCCGTCAGCATTAAACATTATGAAAACATTATGATTCTATTTGCTACTAGGTCATTGCGAAGCATCTTTTTTTTTTATTATGTACATGTATAAAATGTAGCTTTGAATAGAAACCAGAAGTCTCTGTCGAGACTGAAGCTCTACTGGTTTGAACTTATAGCAAAGGAAGAGAAAAGTACTTAAGCAGCTGGGATTTGAAACTAAATAGAATATTGATCGTTGATAAAGTCTCTTTATGTTCTTAGTGAGTCTACTTGTGTGCCAAGTTATACTGAAATCAGACCAAAACTGTAGGAGGAGTAGCATTTTGAAACAATTTTACAGACATTTCTATTTTTAGTGAAATCACGGCAACACCGTTTTCATCAAAATAAAAATTCGATACACAGAATTACATATATTAGTGAAAAATTATTCTACTTATGTGCCAAGTTATATTGAAATCAGACCAAAACTGTAGGAGGAGTAGCATTTTGAAACAATTTTACAGATATTTCTATTTTTAGTAACCACGGCAACACCGTTCATCGAAATCAAAAACCGATAAATAGAATTATGTATCTTAGTGTATTCTACTTGTGTGCCAAGTTATAATGAAATTAAAACCAAAACTGTAGGAGGATTAGCATTTTGAAAGAATTTCACAGAAATTTCTATTTTTAGTAACAATGCCAACACCGTTCATCAAAATCAAAAACCAATACACAGAATTATGTATCTTAGTGTAGTATACCTGTGTGCCAAGTTATATTGAAATCAGACCAAAACTGTAAGAGGAGTAGCATTTTGAAAGAATTTCACAGAAATTTCTATTTTTAGTAACAACGCCAACATCGTTCGTCGAAATCAAAAACAGATATAAAGAATTATGTATCTTAGTGTAGTCTACTTGTGTGCCAAGTTATATTGAAATCAGACCAAAACTGTAGGAGGAGTAGCATTTTGAAAGAACTTCACAGAAATTTCTATTTTTAGTAACAACGTCAACACCGTTCGTCGAAATCAAAAACCGATACACAGAATTATGTATCTAAGTGTAGTCTACTTATATGCCAAGTTATATTGAAATCAGATCAAAACTGTAGGAGGAGAGCATAGCGATTTTGAAAAATTGTTTACATTACAGAAACAGACGGAGATTCGGACGGACGCTTGCAAAGCATTTTATCGCATATATACATATATCTGGTCTCTGACCAGAAATTAAAAAAAAGGGGCACTATAAAATCAAAATACGGGTATATGGTACATGAATTTAAATTGATTCTTATTTTATTTAAGCGATCATTAGATACAAAAATATTCCTCGTGATGATATCAAAGCTATGGTTTTTAACGTCATATACTTTTTCTAAGAACGAACTCGCTAAATTTTCTATCTTTTTATTGGTTATCTAACAGACTTATTTGTAAAAAAAAAATATCTGATTCTGCACACAAGTACATTGAAGTTGATATTAAAATTAACCTTGATCAATCTGTTAGGATTGTCACAAATTTAAATTGTGTCCTATTTTAAGAAACCTGTTTTTGTATTCTTATGAAGCATAATCTATTTAAAAACCTCCACATATGTCGTTAAAAGAAGAAGCCTCTTGCTGTAGGCTTCAATTCGACATTTTGAATAACAGTGACGTTTTATCAATTAACAATATAACTTGTATTTATTTCTACTTTGATACGATATGTCCCTTTGAACTTGAAATGAACCGACACCATTGTGTATGACACATCTGCTTCATATCTGGGTATAAAATTAAAGAAAAACATGTAAGACAAACTGACAGCTAAAGTTTATGATTAAGATGATAGCTTAAATGTTTTTATAATCAAATTTACCTACATTTGGAATGCTTTCTTCGATATCAGAGCCAATTCATTTGTAAAACGAGGAACGCTTTTGGCAATAATTGATGAAAAAATATACGTCTTATACCATTTCTCCAACATTTCTCAATTTCAATGGTCTATACAATGACCCCTTTTGCTAATACTATCTTCGTTTGGTCATATGTTGACTGATGTCTTTCGTGTAAAGTGTGAAGACATACATTATTTTGACTCCCTTCACCAGAACGTAGCAAAGTAAAGACGGAAGGAGTACAAAGTCAACAGGGGCTGCTATTCCTCCATGACACCTGACTCTACCACTAGTGCTCGGCTCAAAATTGTTTTCAAACAGGATATTTGTGCATTATTTATCGTTATTTTCATATTTCATACAGACTACAGCAAATGAACTACTTGGCATAGCTCAGCCAAAAAATAAAAACTTACTGCATCCCTTCTGTTTACTAGAGCTCCTTTGTCTATCATCTTCTTAATAATGGCTTTCTCTTCTGGTATAAACAGATAGCTATAATGTAGCGGTGTAAAATCCAACTACAACAGAATATAGAAAACTACATAGAAACATTGTATGGTCCAAGTACAAAAGAATATAGAAAACTGCATAGAAACATTGTAGTATGGTCCAACTACAATGAAATACAGTACATTTCATTGAAGCAGGGAAAAACAGTTATCATTTGACAATGTATGATCCAGCTATAATGGAATATACACTACAAATAACTTAATGTAGCATTGTATTGTCAAATTACAGTAACATCTATACATGTATATGCATAAAGTCAATGTAGCAGTTAATGGTCCTAAATAATAAAATGACAGTTATAATGCCCCATCCATATACAGAAAAATTTATCTTCATTTCAAAAAGCATAATTATGTATTTTTTTAATTCTTGATTTTTATAAACTTTTCAGATTTAGATAGGTTTATGGTCATTCTATGTTTTTTATAACTCGTCTTCTGATAGAAACTACAAATTTTTAAAATTGCTTCACAAATGAATACTCTCATTGAAAAAATTCTTAGTCTAAAATTAAAATGCCAGAATACTAATATCATCATAGCAAATTTCACTCTTGTTCAAAACATCATATAAGTATTTAATATTGCCCTCAATCCAGGCGAGTGTGGATAAGTGTGGGTGGGAGCTGGAATACCTCAAGGAAAAGCCAGGTTTGAGCCTACTCCTGCCAGGCTGTTGACTCAGAACTAAACTATTGTTTATTGTTTAACATATTAAGATCTCGTTCATTTTAAAATACATTAGGAAGTTTTATATTTCAAGGATTCTGTAAAGTTCCATTTCATCTTTAACTATGCATTAAATCATTGAGTAAATGTTCATCGGAATTATTCATTTTTGAAATCAGATTTTGGTATAGGAATACAGTATTTGAATTAGATTATTTTTGAATTATCATTTTCGATTTTTCGATACCATTTAGGATACTTTAAAAGTCATCTGGCAAAAATGCATTTTCAATAAAACACTTGAATGGACCCTGTTCTATTCTTACCGTGTCTCCTGTGGTCACGTGATTGGGGCACTCCTCCAGGAGGAAGGATATGACGGGTTTCTGTTTTTTGAGGATGGCCCTGTGTAGAAGACTTCGGCCACATTTGTCCCGGACATTAGCGTACCTCTTACAGCTCAGAAGCTTCTTAATGTCCTCCACCGAGCCTTCATCCACTGCCTGGAAAATACGCTTCACATACGCCTGGCAAAAAAGTAGCACGTGATCAAAATCAAACATGCGTACAACAAACAAAATTTTATCATCTCCAATACAGAACAGTTACATTACTTTTTTAAATTAATCTTTCAAAGAAACCCTGATAAGGAAGTTTTAGTTGTAAAAAGAATATTCACATCAACAAAACTTCAAATATTTCAAGTACTTCTCTTCCTTTTTTTTAAATTGTAATAATACATTTTGCCTACTTTTCATCAAATTTTACGGCTAAATACAGATGTCACTTCTTCACTCAGAAAGACACGTATCTAACAAGAATGATTTGAATTTTTTTGAAGAAAAAAATCTATCATTTAATCTTAAATGATTCTATTGTCTATATTTCACATTACTTATGTTTGAATACTTTTCTTCTAAACTGTCAAACTTGTTTAAGACATAAACTAAACAGAAACATATTCATTTTTCCTACGGCGTTATTCACATTTGTTTATATGGGAAACATTTTGGAGTTCACATTTTCTTTAAACATTGAAATGCCATACTGTACGAGCGCTTATATATTATTTTTAAAAAGTTTACTCAATACTTATAACAAACCTGTATGGCGGCTGTGAGTTTGACTACTTCGTGAATTTGGCGAGTTCCGTATTTCTTGGCGATCTCAACTAATGTCCGATTTCCGCTGTCCGTTATATCCAGCAGATGATTATAGTTGTGTAAAATAAGTTTCTCAATGTCATCAAAACGACGATCTTTGACTAGTTTGATTATATACTCATCTATACATTTACAATAATGCTCCTTTTGAAGTTTCTGTGCCAAGTCACGTGGCGTGCGGCCATTGCAGTCACGTGCTGCGATGTCGGCACCATAAGACATGGCGACTCTAAGCGTGTTTTCTGCTGCGTTTTCCGGTCTGTCGTGAATAATGATTTTATGGAGAATTGTGTGACCCTCACGATCTCTTGCTGTCAGGTCTGATCCTTTGAGGACACGGTGAACGATTTTCTCATCTCGAGGAGCTGTTACTCCACAAATAATCTGAAAACATTAAACAATTTGAAAAAAGTTGCAATATGACCCTCTCAAATGAATCCAAAATTTTGCTTTCATCTAGCTAGCTATTTTCATTAATTTTCTGTTGGTTAATATTGTGCTTAATGTGTCAAAATTAACAATTAACTCTGTTACCATAAAAATACTTTTAAGAGTTCACAGTATTATAAATACGAAATATTTTAAACTTTACAAGCAAGTGCCCATGGACAAGTCGTATTTCAGATGGTCTCAATGAAGTTAATTTAATAATTCTATGATGCCTTGAAAGATTTTGCTGTCAATAAAAAGTTACCCACAAGTTTTATTATAGTTCATTTATCGATGAAACCTCTGCGTTTTTCTTTAAAGTCTATTTGGTAGTGACGGGCATTGAATATTTGGTTTTTTTTTCTTAAGGTAAAACACGTGACCATAACTCTAAATATTAAGCATTAAGATGTAAATGTATGCATTGAACATTTGTGCAAGGACAGCATCCATTCTTGGTTAAATAATTACTATACCTTTCTATTATTCATCTGACCTTGTATGGTAATTTAATGTTGGCGACAGATTTCGTTACGTAGACCCACGTGTAAAAATTTTCTTCAGCATAGCTGATATTCAATTTCATACTAATTGTTATCTAATTTCAAATAACTGTAAAGGTTATGCTGTCATGATTTTGAGGTTGGGTTAATTACAACGTCATAAATTATATTAATTCAATAATTATCATCTAAATGCTCCGTACGACCTAGTTTTAAGTACATGTGAGATGTCACGGGAGGAAGACATGTAACATTTCAAAGTCTTCCATAGCAACTGTTTATATCAAATGGCCATCAATTAGTTAAATAAAGTTGAAAATGGTTCTGTTCAAATCAAATCAGTCATTGTTGATAAATTTACTAGGATATTGCAAATCTTTTTAAAACCCAACGTTTTACTGAAGAAAATTCAGATAAAACAATCCGTCTTTTTTTTAAACTTCAATATGCCAATAAAGGATTTGACGCGGTTAATATAAGTAATTTTCTAAATCACAATTTCAAGTTAAAGACTACATCTTGTACTTCCTACAAATATACATCGACCATTGCTTCAAACCTCCTTCATTTTAACTTATTTTTAAAGGTCTTATATATATAGGGAACCCCGGTCCTTCAACTGGTGTCGGAATTTCATAAATATTATAGATTCTGTAGAAGATTACGCCTGGCGATGGGCAAGATGTGAAAAAGAAGACGTTGACACTTTGTTAGAATGGATTAAATGTATCAGATCTATGTTACAATCGCGTATTAAAAGATTGAAGAACAATATGAAAACCATCTATCCTCCTGTATTCAATAATCCAGAAGTGAAAAAAAAAAGAATTAGATAGCTTACATGATCAGTACGTTCTGGTCCCTGCTGACAAAGCAGGTAGCAACATTGTCTTCGTTTTTAAGGCTCATTATATAAATTGTATTTTAGAAGAACTTGGATTTAATTCTACAAGTGGTAATCCGACTTATACTCATAGTTCCCTTTCTATGGAAGAAATTTTTCAAAATTATTCAGTTTTGAATATTTTTAATATCTAAAAGAACCAAATGAATTTGAACTACCATATCTATATTGGATTCCGAAACTTCATAAAAATCCTTACAAACAAAGATACATAGTGGGTTCCAGTAAATGTTCAACCAGGACTCTTTCTTTACTCTTCATTAACATATTAACAGAAGTGAGGAGAAACTTCAAGAGTACTGTGCAACAATATATTCAAGAGGTAGTGTAAATCAGATGTAGATACATGTGTACTTAAAATTTCCAAGGAACTTTTGGACAATTTGAAATAACAAGATTTTACCAAAATCAACACTAAAAACTTACAACTTTTCAACTTTAAACACAACCGTTCCCAACGATAAATTAAAGTGCAGACTTTTTGATAGCTGCTTTTTCAATAAAAATGGAACTCGTAAATTTACGTACCATGTCATTGGTCATTTGCAAAATTATTTTTTTTTTTAAACATTTTGATTGTACACAAAAGTACCTGATTGTAAATACAAGTACTCTAAAGTTGACATCAAAAAGATGCTTGAGCTTCTGATTGACAATAATATATGGTTTTAGAGACCATGTCTTCCAACAATCTATTGCAATCACCATGGGTACCAATTGAGCCCCGTTATAAGAAGACCTATTTTTGTATTCTTATGAAGCAGAATTTGTCCAAAATCTTATACGTGAAAAGATGAAAACACTTGCTATGACCTTCAACGCGGCATTCAGATACTAGTATATCGACGACGTATTGTCAAATAATAATGACAATTTCCATTCTTATGTCGATACGATATATCCCAACGAGCTTTGGGAAAAAGATACCACAGAGTATGACAAATCTGTTTCATATTTGGATATTTTACTTGAAAAAGACGTTAATGGTAATCTCACAATCAAGCTCTGTGATAAACGTGATGACTTAAACTTTTCAGTCATCAACTTCCCTTACTTATGCAGCAATATAACTTCATTACATGCATAAGGAGTTTATATATCTCAGTTGATTCGATACGCAAGAGCATGCTCTAAGTATGTACAATTTCTAAAACGAGGTAAAGCATTGACAAACAAGCTAGTTCATGAAACATGAATATCTGCAGTCTTGTTTAAAGTCATCATTTCGTAAGTTATTTGGTCGATACAAAGACCTTGTTAGAAAATACAATTTACCATTGTGTCAAATGCTGACTGCTTTTTTTTCATACAATTTAGTTTTTAGTCAATTATTTATAGACTGAATTGACGACGGCTTTTTCCGTTATTTTCCGATCATGACAAGGAGCACACGGCGGGTGTGATCCGTCGGCAGGGGATGCTCAACACTCCATTGCAGCTGATCCCACCTCTGATGTTTTGGAGGTATGTGTTAGCTCCACTCCTATTTTGTATTGTTCTATGGACTTTTAATCTAGAATACTGTTTGTTATCTCCATATGTTTCATCTTTACAGCACTATCAAAGCGTATGACTGACTTGGAATTGAATTGCATAAATAGAACTCAGTTATAACACCTCTCAACTGGGAATTTTAACAGAATAATATATTTCAAGTTATCATCACACTCGCTCACCCTATCTCTTCCAGAATATATATATACATATATACATATTATGGAAAACTGTATGTGGGGGGAAAATGAAACCTCGTTATTCGTCATTGTCAAATCTTACGTGGAATACACTGTAAATTATACACCCTTTTACACATGAGAAACAAGACACATGAGACGGTTTTGAACAAGAAACAATCATGCACTTTTGTCACCCGTACTTATTTTAGATGGAATTTAGAAGTACATTTTGGAACTCTTGACAAACCTTTGCAAAAGATAATTTATTATTTACTAGTTTCTAAAATGTCAAAATATGTCCTATACCATGCAAGTAGAAAAGCATTTTCAATTCACAGACATGTACCTGGAAAAACAAAGGTTTGGGTGGATTCTTGGACTCTGTGTCGTCCGTCCACAAAACCCTTGTGTCTGGTTCCATGTCCAACAGAACATCCACGGCGTCGTAGTTGTTTGACTCCCACGCTGCCGCCAAAATTGGACGCGGGACTTCAGGGAATTCTGGGTACTTGTGTTGATAGGAGTAATCCTTAGCGTCACAGTCAACGCCTTTCAGGAGTTCAATTCCTGCAAAAACATCAGCAAAAAGTATATGTAGGTTTATGAAAAAATTAGCCATTTACTGCCATAATTTAAGACTCTTAAGTTAATGACTGTCTCGATAACCTGATTCATTCTAGACTCTAAAGAATTCAAATGTGCGTACCTTGCTTAACCCAGCTTTTTACGATGAATCCAAACCCAGCATTCAGAGCGAGACACATCTCATTTGGATTTTCGTATTCCTCGATCATATGCAAGAGGTCGACCTTGTGAATATCGTCCTTCACAAGGGATTTTACATTTACTACCTTGCCATTTTTCACGCACGTCAGACGGCACCATTGTCTGAGCAAGCGCTGCACCAGCTTCCGGTCTGGGTTTTCCTCAGAGAGCGCGGCCCACAGTCCTGAAATTAAGTTTGTATAACCAATTAGAATTATCGTTATAGAGTGCATTTAGTTTTAGTTACTGTAATATCAATGTCAAATGCTGCGTTTCAAATTATTGCATATATCTGTAGTCCATAGTGTCTAAATAAAGTTCTATGTTCGAAACTTCAGGAAGTCTAACAACATGTGTACTACATGTAGTATGTTTAATTTACTGATAATTTTCGAGACCTTGTGTACTTTTTTATAGTGTATTTTCAGAATATGCCCATTCGCTGAACAAAATCCTATGTTATAATAGAATAAAAGTATTTTATATTATTGTGTTTTTCTTACAATTTTATCCCGGTGTTGGTTACAAGTTAAAAAAAAACAATAATCGGCATATTTACTGCAGTCTAGACCATTGATTGGGCAAAGGGTCGATAATTTCTTTTGATTACATCGGAGACAGTCAAGTCACGCTTCACGCTCTCTTTGCAGCCAGTCTAGGGTTTTAACCCCGTGCTTTTTTATTTACTGGAAATATTTTTATTTGCATTGAGAGCGAATTTATAAGAGAGAGAGTGAGAGAGAGGGAGACATAATTTAACCATCGAAGTATAAACTTGTAATAAGCAAACTAGAGTTTTCACAAAACGCTTTTTCAGTTTTAAAGATAACATCAACTAGAATTTGAAATATATGTTTCTTTTCTCTTCTAGATCAAGAGGTCGCCAAACCATAAACGAGTCCATTAAGCCTACATTAATTTGGAGGAAACTCCCTGATTTCTACTGACGGCAAATTGTCACAAAAGGAAAACACAATGTCTGCATCAGTTTAATTTTATCGTTTACAAACACATGATTGTATAGTCTGCTGAAAGAGACACGATCTTTCTCATACCATTTACAATGTTATCCCAAGTAAAGTTAGATAAAGGAAAACACAGATTCTGCCACATCAGGAACAATAATGAAATAACAGACACTGACACATCATATACAATGTTTTACCAGTGAAATATGTAGATAGCGATCAGTAATCAGGCTCAAAAGTCCATAGAAATTATACAAATAGAGAGCAGAGATCTAAACCTCTAAAACACCAAAGGTGGGATCAGGTGTCATGGAGGAGTAAGCATCCCCTGTCTACTGGTCACGTCCGCTGTGTGCTCTTTGCCGTGATCAGAAAAACGAAAAAATACATACACATTTCATCGTGTAAATAATGGCGTAACGATAAGTATGAAAAACGTCAGTCAGCATTTGACTAGGGCTGGGCAATAATATCGATATTTCAATATATTGCAATACACTGACAAAAAATATCGTATCGCAATACGATTTTGTAATATCGATATATTGGCAATATACTTAGATTAAGGAATTTTGTCATTAAATATAAAAATGGACTTACGAAAGTTTGTTATTAAGCCAAACAGTAAGTCAGAAGTTGTTTTGGGGGAACATTTCAGAGCATAACTTAAAGGAAATCAACAAGATTTTTTTTTCGTGTTGGTTACTTATCATAGTTATGTACATTCTGCATGTAAATTAAAATAAATATAGTAAGAAAATGCCATTTTTATTACATTGAAAATATTGCAATACGTATCGCAATACAGTTTGAAATATCGCAATATATCGCAATACGAAATCTCGGGCCAATACCCAGCCCTACATTTGACCTAAAGACAGATTGAATTTGCTGACAAGGTCATTGTATCGACAATAGAACTTGCAAAATAATGTCTTTAAACTCTTGTTTCATCTTGTCTGTCAAAAGTTTCTTTCCCTTGAATAATCGTTCAGATGTATATCATGAATCAACTGGAAGACATAAACCCCATATGTGAGAAGGATAAACTTAATTTATTACAACATAAGTAAGTTGATGATAAACAAGAGGCCCATGGGCCACATCACTCACCTGAGAAGCTTTGACCATGTGATTCTTGACCAGATTTCCCCCTTGTAATACCTATTATGACCCCATCGTACCCCAAGGATCTTAATTTGGACAATTCAAATTCCCCTGGGGGTCATGATTTGAACAATTTAGAATCTACACTACCCAAGGATGCTTCCACATAAGTTTCAGCTTTTCTGGCCCGGTGGTTCTTGCAGCGAAGATTTTTCCTATATATTTCTATGTAAAACTTTCATTCCGTATTGTGGCCCCGCCCAACCCCCGGGTGTCATGATTTGAACAATTTAGAATCTACACTACCCCCAGGATGCTTCCACATAAGTTTCAGCTTTCCTGGCCCAGTAGTTCTTGAAAAGAAGATTTTAAAAGATTTTTCCAATATATTTCTATGTAAAACTTTGATTCCCTATTGTGGCCCTGCCCAACCTCCGGGGGTCATGATTTGAACAATTTAGAATCTACACTACCCCAGGATGCTTCCACATAAGTTTCAGGTTTCCTGGTTCAGTAGTTCTTGAGACGATTTTTCCTATATATTTCTGTGTAAATCTTTAATTCCCTATTGTGGCCCCACCCTACCCCCGGGGGTCAAGATTTGAACAATTTAAAATCTACATTACATAAGGATGCTTCCACATAGGTTTCAGCTATTTTGGCCAAGTAGTTCTTGAGTAGAAGATTTTGAAAGATTTTCCCTATATATTTCTATGTAAGAGTTTGATTCCCTATTGTGACCCTGTCCAACCCCCGGGGGTCATGATTTGAACAATTTAGAATCCACACTACCCAAGGATGCTTCCACATAAGTTTCAGTTTTTCTGGCTTAGTGGTTCTTGAGAAGAAGATTCTTCATGATTTTTCCAATATATTTCTATGTAAAACTTTGATTCCCTATTGTGGCCCCGCCCAACCCCCAGGGGTCATGATTTGAACAATTTAGAATCTATACTACCCAAAGATGCTTTCACATAAGTTTCAGCTATTCTGGCCCAGTAGTTGTTGAGAAGAAGATTTTTAAAGATTTTCCTATATATTTCTATGTAAAACTTTGATTCCCTATTGTGACCCTGTCCAACCCCCGGGTGTCATGATTTGAACAATTTAGAATCTACACTACCCCCAGGGTGCTTCCACATAAGTTTCAGCTTTCCTGGCCCAGTAGTTCTTGAAAAGAAGATTCTAAAAGATTTTTCCAATATATTTCTATGTAAAACTTTTATTCATGTCCCCTACCCCCGGGGGTCATGATTTGAACAATTTTTACCCCAGGCTGCTTCCACATAAGTTTCAGCTATTCTGGCCCAGTGGTTTTTGAGAAGAAGATTTTTTAATGACCCCACCCTATTTTTGTCTTTTCTTGATTATCTTGAGGATTTGGCCCTTCATTTTCACAATTTAAATTTCCCTTTACCCAAGGATGCTTTGAACCAAGTTTGATCAAAATTGACTCAGTGGTTCTTGAGAAGAAGTCGAAAATGTGAAAAGTTTACAGACGGACGACGGACAAAATGTGATCAGAAAAGCTCACTTGAGCTTTCGGCCCAGGTGAGCTAAAAAGTTGAAGTCATTACGTTTATCATAAAATATTATTAGGTTCTCTTATTCTTAAAGAGGCTGGGGGGTGGCAGCCATTTTCAGACTATTCTAATCTCCTTTAAAAGAAGAGATCCATATAAAGATATATAAAAATGATCAAATTTTAAACTAAAATGTAGGATTTTTTTCTTTGCCAAATGTTAGTTAACAGCTTAAGACACCGTATCTTAAAAAATAAGTTAAATCAGGTGGTTAATTTTTGGTTAATTTGTTGACCCCCAGCCTCCTTAATTGATAATACGTTGTTGATATATCTAAATATCGAGTCAAAGCTCAACGGCAAGTGCTATTTTTGAATAATTTTTGCTTTATATAGATACAAACAAAGGTCTGATTATAAAGGGGTGCATTTTGTACCAATAGAAAATTCTGATAGATAGGTATAGTGAGTTGAGGGAAGGCAAACACTACTACATTATAATATAATGTTATTTGTTTAGGAATGTAGATCACACTAAATATCATGCCAAGTAAACTATGTTATTGGAAAAAAAGATAAATGTCATATTATAAACAATGTACCAAGTAAACTGTTTTTAAAGAAAACAGACATTAATAAGCACCTTATGCTGTAGGAAAATAGCGCTACACTTAAAAGAATGCTATTCAAATAATGTAGACCTGAGGAATACCCTGAATTGAAGCATTCCTTATTAATGTGTGCTGAAGGAAGATGCATGTTTCAATACCTAACCTTAAAAGAAAACACTACTGAGTACTTTGCAATATCTGCTAAAGAAAGGAAGCACTTTCCCTAGAAGAATATATTGCTAAGTAACATGTGCTTGAGAGAGGCAGCATATTGTCTTGAAGAATGCATTGCTTAAGAAGACGTCAAAAAAGATTTTTAAAAAGCGTCGTTCAGTAACGTTTGCTAGAGAAAGACAAATGAACAGTTCCTCCAAAAGAATGTTTCACTTTGTGATTGGGATCAATGTGAATACAATAATGCACATAGGAACATGTGTTAGAGGAAAGAACAACTACCAAAAAAATCATTTTTTTCTTTCAATTTAAGTAGACAAAGAAAAATGTAAATGTATATTGTACCTTTCACATGTATAGAGTGCAGAAAGAGGAGAAGAATAACTACAAAATATTGTTGTTACAGAATAAAAGACTGGTTTGTACGTTTTGCTGGCTGAAAACAATGCGGTAAGTTTAATTTTTGTATTCTCTCACACAACAGTATCTAAGGTGTGGACAGTGTCACTTTAAATATTCTTAAACCTCAGATCAAATTGTTATACCAAAATGGAAACCGAGAAGAATTATTAGAAGTTGGTTCATTTCTGTGTACCCATAAAAATTACAAAAAAAATGTTAAATGTGTACATAAAGTTTATAACTTTTGCAGAAAGCAACGAATAGCTATAAAATCTAAGAACCTGTTTTTGGAGTTTTCGATGCATGTTAAACACCAAAAGAAGAAGCATTCGTGTTGGTGAACGTTAGATTTTTTTTAATGCAAGATACATGTATTTAACCCGTAGTAACAAAGAGTACAGTCTGTTTCAGTCTGCCTGTTTCTTCAGATGCCTATCTATGGAAACCTTGTCTGCATTTGAAAATGTACCTGGTTCAAAACCTTTTTGTTATTCACGAAGAGAAGATGTAAAAAAAAAAATCATATCTACAGGATGACAGAAGAAGGACGGATATTTTCCAATATGCTACAGAATTGTGTAAATAAAACTATATAGATCACGGTTGTAAAGCATGTTAATCGGTAACTAGACAGTGTATTGATGTCTAATAGCGATCCAAGATCACTGACACCTGTACCTGCAGCAGGTTTATACTTATTTATATTTTTGCTGTTTACCTGGCTTGAATTTTTTGTACCAATGGTACATTTCTTCCCATCCTTCTGGCTTCTCCGTCAATAGAACGTCCTCGGCCGTTTTACCGTCATTGTTAAGTATCCTGGTGTCGGCACCACATCTACAGAAAAATAAGTTACGTAATAAGGGCACCTGAACTTTTAAAACAACAAAAATGTTAGCAATTTCTATTCATTATTGTAACATCGTATACCATTTAACACAAGCAAATGTCTTTTCTTGGCACTTAACAAATGATTACGTAAGCTTACAGTACACAATATTTAACAATTATTTGTCCAGAATATAGGCTAAACCTCTTAGTTTAATAAAATGCAGGATTTGTATTCATTTTCATATGTAACACATTCAAAAAATTATAATTCAGCATACAAATCAATCGTGTATGAAGCTGATAAGTCAAACTTGAAACCACTTCATACTTAAAATATTTAAGGTTTATCTCTTTGGTAAGCGGAAATAAACACATTTTTCCGATATGCTGAACCAAAACTATATTTACAGAAATAGGACACAAGTTATTAGATCTGAATTGCAGAGAACGTGCTATTTACAGTAGTTCGAGTCACGAATAGAGAAGGATCTTTACTTGTATGTTTGTTACTCTACGTTTTGTAAAGCTGATGTTCGTGGGTACAGAAAATGAAATACAAGTCATTTAGAATTTGTTATCATTGCGGATAATTTTCATTGCATTTTCACTGTTCTAGTTATACGTATCTCTTTTCTCCGTTTAAAGAACAAGACGGGAATACTGGCACATACAATATGAACAGAAAAAATATTTTCAAAGATTTTAACAAACTCCGTATCAAGTGCCAGTCTAAGATAATAGTTCATCAATAATTCTTCTTTCTTTGTATTCATTCTACATTCTCTAGTATTAGTATTATGAAATGTAATGTAAGACAATACCAAATGGCTATGTTCTATGTATGCAGAGATAAAATTTGAGTGCACATAAACCTGCACTGATCTTGTACTCTTAAGTATCAATTTTCATTATTATTAAAATTTAATATATAGCTAAAATATGCACATTTGTAAATAAATATATAGGTTTTGTAAATAAATATATAGGTTTTGGTACCTTTCATATATGTTTACAGGGTAAGATTTCTATAAATGTGACGATAGCAATTTTAGTGCTGGGAATTTATATCCGATTTTGCGATTTATTTGAGTGGACTTTATCGAAGCATTTTTGAGGAGAGAATTAAAATCATCTTATTTCACTAAATTGTCTTTCTATTTTATTGTCAAGTGCCCAGCAGGTTTTCTTTTTTACAAGCTCTTTAATGTCCTAAATTTAGTCCAATATTACACAGCGTTCAATGCAATCTCTCGGACACACACAGCAAATCGAAAGTCTCATGCTGCGAGGGGCCCAGTCACCCGGAACTTTTAAACCAGTTCGTCCGGTTTCCGGTTAATTTGTTACACTCCATCAGAGGGGTAGAAAATGGACACATTACTTTATAACATTCCTATCTCGTTCTCACAGGAGATCTAGACATGACTAAACAGATTTTCTTTAATAGTGTCCTAGGTTTTGCACTAAGAGGCTTCATTTGGAATAATTACAGTATTTAAATCGGGCCTTGACCATTGCCCATATTAGGAAATACAGAATTCTAAAAATGCTGACGAATTATGCACTTTCCCAGACATACATTGTCGAAAACTAAAGATATTTGGTAATTCCTCTAGCAGAAATAAGCCGAGCAAAGAGTAACTGTGGCTTTATGTGGAAAAGCCGTATACCAGGGTATTTCATGTTAAATATGATTACGGTGAATTGAGACTTGTAATTTGAGATAAATTAAAAGCCTTTGAGACAAAACTTGTCTTTGTTGCAGTCAAAATGGTCAATGATAAAAACAGTTTATCACTGAATTCAATCCCAATCTTCTGAAAATGTCCAAAGAGAGTATTCTTACATAGTGGTACGACCTTCACATTTTTCTAACAAAGAAAATATACAATCTTCTCAAGTTTCATTCATTTAAAGTGCTGCAGAAACAGCTTTATGTTGGGCTATTTTCTCTGAGATAATCATCTACGGTTAGAGAAAAGGTTCGAAGTCTGTTTTTGGTTCAGGTTACCATTAACTCGGGGTTTTTATAGGAATACTTCTACCGTAATGTTTCCTGGCTTGGATTGACATCGCTGGAGGTAAAATGGGCATCGAAAAGATTAACAAATAAATAACAACCCGCAACAAAATAACAAAACTCTGAAAAGATTCATGTACCCTGATTATAACCAAGATTGGACCACGTGTTTTAAGCGTCTGAGTAAAATTCTCTATTGATTGAAGGGGTCGCAAAGATTTCAATCTAATGTGTAACTAGTCACACATAAACACTTGTTACCATCCTCGTAGGTCTTAATTTCCGAGTACAGTTTTGTGGTGAAGATATTTTATCAAAACAAAGTTGAATGGTAGAGAAAAGAAAGGTCTACAATCTGATTGTTCTGTAGACTTCCACCATCTGACATCTGATAGTCTGGTGCCTAGCTCTACTTGTCGTAGGCACAGCTCCCCGACGCCTTATATTGCTTCACACTTACAATGAGGCTCTGTTTTCACCATGTTTATATTTGTGAACAATATTTTTACCACACCCATGTATCTCCACACAATGCTTTACACGGAGATGCCCTAAGTTGCGTGTACCTGTGCGACAGTGTTCACTTTCTTTTCTATCTGATATATTGCTTTAAGTATCCTTCTTTTTTATCATGAACAAAATTTGAACATGCAGTGTTTGGTTAGTCAAATCTGGGGTTTATTGAGTACAAGACAGGTAGTTCCTTGATTGACAACCAAATGGCACAAAAAAGATTCTATGGCTCTTTTTGACATCAGGTATGTGAACATTGTTTATCTGGAATTTGATGTAAATCAGAGATAAATATGAGCCAGCACATACACTGTATATACTATAGTGCCCAGATCTTTGGTTTGGGCAAATTTCAATTTTTTTTTTTTAAAAAGGAAGTTTTTCGAAATCAATTAGAGATTCTATTATACATATTAGAAAAAGCAGATAAACCCTTGATGTGAAGAGATGGTACTGGAGCTCAGACTTCCGGTTCCTTACTATTCTCCCACTCAAATTTTGACGAAAAGATTCCGTACATTTTAATCCAAAAACATGTATTCAGCCGGCATTATTTTTGTAAGACTGGAAACCATTGATTCCATCTTCATTAGTAAAATCCATTTATTAAAGGAAGCAGACGCTTGTGTAGAGGTGATATAAAGAAAATGAACAAAGTCCCTATTTTCTGTTTTCCTTTGAAGTCTTGCATGAATTCTAAAAACTTTTTTGCTTATTGTTTATCAAATGCAATTTACAAATTATTCATCAACTGCATGAATCCACATTATATCTTTACCTCTTGCAAAGTTAAATGGGCATTGAACATGTTGAAGGATGGGAAATAATTGATATCAGAGGGAAATACATTAACATGGCCACGATTTAGGTTATTGATACGTGCAATAGACTTTTTTCAATGATCACAAGTGGATTGCTGCAGTGTAATCGCAAAGCTATTCATGGACAACACTTCACACGTTACACAGATAATGCAGATATCCAGTGCAGGATCTTGACGATGGTTAGTACCAAGAGAATACGAAACGAGGTGTGGCGTTCTCGGGATTTATCATTATTCATCATGTCAAAGATGGCCGAGTTCCAATGGCAGATTACAAAGATGGCAGAAAGTACTGAGCTATATCAATAACAATTTTAAATGCTTTTTTATTTGTTTGTTAATATATTAGCACATGCAAAGAGAAAAAAAATTAAAGGAACATAAAGTGATAAACACAGCTATACCACCCTTGTAACCCTCGACCCTTCAAAATTTACCCCAACAATCCTCTAAAAATAATAAGTAACTGAATTTGCTAATTTTAAATGCTTTTTATTTTTAAAAGAAAAGGAGGAAAAAATGAAAGAGAGAAATTTTTGCGTGTTTCAAATATTTTGTGTCTTATTCATTCAAATTTTGTTCAGCATGTCTTCACATTCAAATTTAGTCCTTTTTAAAATCAATTCCAAAAACTATCGTTGAACCAAAATTTTCAACTGTTATTCCGCGTAATCCTGATTATCCGGAGAAATATTTGATGAAGGAAAGCGATCTAAGGGACTTTGATCGACATAAAAAAGGTTACAAATGTCATGAAAGACTATACAAGATTTTTAATTTCCGTAGAGGTAATGAATAAATGTCGTTGAATGTCGTTAAACAATCTAAATTATGGTGAACAAAATAAATAATAATATAGCTTTTTTTACTGATGTTACCAATTTAAAGAATTATATAAATGAAGCATTCTCGAATCGTTTCAGCTATCAAATATGAAGGTAATCAAAAGACAACAACACCCCCGTTTATATTTTAAAATATTCAAACTCCAATGATAACGATATTGAAATTGCTACTCTGTTTTATCGATACACTTGGATACTTTTTTCCAATACCAATATATGCGTAAATTAATTTGATAAATTATCGTTCTCTTCCCGAAGTATCAATGGAAGCAGTATAACTTAGCTAAGTGTTTTCGAGAAAAGTGATATTATCGTGATTTCTTTTGCGAGAAAATTTTAATTTCTTCCCTTAATACCGTTTTCTGCGTACAATTTTGCTGGCTAGACATTTTTTTTGATTGAATTAGACCTTTTTAATTAGATGATAGCTAAATTTGTGCACAAAAAGTATACAAAACAGGACAATGGCTAGTGAGCCCTACATAGCTGAAATTTTATCGGGCTGGACAAGATAAATGTGGTTTTGTCCCATGCCGTCCGTAAATTTTAAAATGTCTTTTATTTATCTGGAAGAGAAATGAGAACGCATATCGAAAGCGGAGAATTTCCTTTTCAGTTAAAGACACTTGAGTTATGAAGAAAAACAGCTTTTTATTTGCAAACTCTAGAATAAAGCTATATCTGTCCCAGGCATATTCAAAGTAGATCACTCACATAATCATTTCCCCTAGAGCTGAAAAAGTAGTATTTAAAGGACGAAGGGTAAAATAAATAAATCTTTAAAAGGAAATCACACGGTAGATTGGGCATTATCAAAAGAACTCAGGTAGAAATTGGGTCGCCAGAAAATTGCTGCTTACAAAATGTATATTATTTTTTTTCTCTGTGCCAGATTTCCACTTGATAAAAAAATAATAACTCGCACACATTCTCAAGTGGCTTAAAAGACACATAGTATGTTATTGAAAATTCATAAAAGTCGTGCAAACGCCTTGCCATTTTTTGTCCGGCCTTGATAGTGACAGGCTATTTACATTTTTATTGATTGATTAACAAAAATTCATCTTTATTTTAATTAGCAACGTATAGATCGATTCACCACTTTGCTTAAGTAAATGTAATGTTTTAGGTACTGAGGTACTTAGATTATGATGTAATGTACAAAAATATTCATCAAGATGGTCAAATTGAATGATGGAAAAAAAGATTTCTTGGTATAATGTTTTTACTTAGTTCTTTCACTTTTTTAAAAAATATATTCACATCCGGAATGAGTTTATCTGAATATTCATTAAATTTTGACACCGACTTTTATTTACGGTATGTCTGAAAAGTCTAATCATTTAACTTAGATTGATCTTTTATACCTGATAAATTTCCAGTTTTCCCACAGAAGTTTTCATTAAATTTCAAATGAATAAAAGTTAAAAATATTCAGCATTAGATTTAAATGAATAAGTTCTGTGAATTATTTGAGAATGCTGTTTTACATAGTTTACACTTTTTCAGATTACTATTATTATCAACAAAAAAAATATAGGGTGGATGGAAGGGGGGGGGGGTTATGAACCACATTTTTTTGTTCAACCAGTCGCTTCCTGTATATAAATACGTGTACAATGTATATTCAGAAACATAGGAAATGATAGTGTAAGCTATCTCTAATTGTATTTAAATGTGGAATAAATCCCTTTATCATGCTGACTGGTAATAATGTACAAAGGCGAAAACTGGACCAGTGCAACATTCTGTTTTTTAAAAAACGAATTCTCTTTAAATTGTTCATATAAAACGCAAAAGAAATTATTCATCTCAGCGGCCATCAAAATTAATTTAACAATGCAGTTCGTTTTAAATCAATGAAATATTCTTGTATAGAGACAACACAGCACAACACATGTTTAGAGGCAATAACACTAATATTACGACTTCCAAATTCTTATAAATATAAATAGTGTAACGGACATTCAATATTTTTAAAACGATCTTCATTCCATGTTTGACGATCTGTCATAAAGGCACTATCTGATATGAAATAAAATTAAACATTTCCTCTGTAAAAACATACATATTGGCGACAACTGATTTAAGTGAATAAGATAAAAAAGGCCCCATAATGACTCATTGTTTGGGGGTTGTTTTGAAATTAATATGTCATACGTACATTAACAAATTCATTTCCTGTTCTACATGATTGATTTTAAGAGAAAAACAGACAACGAGTCATTTCTTCTGGGTAAGAACGGGGGACACCGGGCACTTTGTCTTTTTAGAAAATAAAAATTAAAAATTGATAACAGCTGTTTGACCAGAAGACATTTATGCTACATGACTTTCATGTATTTCGTTAATAAAAATTTTCATATTTAATTTACATAACATTTGAAGAGTAAATGATCCTACAAGGTCCTACATGATATTTATAGTTAATGGAGTTATTTGATTTTTTTTGTTGTCATTTGTCAAGTTCTAAGCTATGTTTCGCATAAACATTAATTATACAGAATAATGTACGAGATAAACATTTTGAACTTTTCTAAAAATTTAGTAAACTAAATGGATATAAAGCCATAAAATAACTATTTTCTGTTACTTCATTTGTATAGAATTTTAACCTATGACTTTAATGATTATCGTTTTATTTTTTTTTTCAATCAAATTATGGATGTTTCATAAACTTCTATAGAATTAAATTTAGATATAATAAAATATCACCTTTAAAAGTTTATACAAAATAGTATCTTATTTGCTTTCGTTACTAAACTGGAATAACGTTTAATATACACTAAGTACAGAGCTACTAGCGATAAACATATCCTATTGTATCATCAGTAAACAAACCATAAACAATAAACACATATACACAAGTAGTCCCTTAATTTGTCAGATCAAAAGAAAGTTCTGTATAAACCTTCAGCCCTAAATCCATGTTGAATCAAAAGTTCCTCATTCCAACAAAAAAATTCATTCATTTTATTAATTTCTCGAATATATATATTAATTATGCCAAAGAGAGAGAGAGAATGAGTAGGAGGGATAGATTCAATATTTTGGATGAAAGATGCAGATAAATAAATGTTAATAGATTTATACACAGATATCATTATGAATATTGGCAGTTTGGTACTCTTAGAAGAACTCATCTTCTTCAATGACATTTATTACTGTCGATTGATGGTAGGGTAAGAAATGTTTCTTTAACACTTCTGCTGTATCTTTCCATGCAAATCTTGATCTCTGGATGTAAATAGTACCGTGAAATCGTTGCGATTGGACTCATCCATTTTTGACCGTTTTAGTCAAGTGAGTTCATCCCTGCCTGAAACTGCTCAAAATGATTCAACATTTGACCATGAGTTTATCAATTGAGGTAATCCATGCTTGATATTTATAGCATATAGTATGTTATTGAAGAAGTTTGCAAGACTCCACTTCTCTTCGATGACTATTTTCCGAGGCGATGCCATGCACGAGGAACTGGACTCCCGCAAACTCTCTAAATGGTATACTTAAACTGAATATAAACATTGCGGGGTTTGGAGGAAATCTCATACAAAGATCTTCAATCTATAATCCAGTTCATGTCATACATTTATTCCAAGATGTGTTTGATTTTTTTTCTTTTTTTTAAAGCAGCAGAGATTCACATATTCATTACTCAGAACTTGAATTACTATTATAGGTGGTTCTAATCACGGACTTGGTATTATTAATACAATATTAGAAGATGTATTTGAAACAACACATGCAATTCTATTCAGAAAGTTAAAATAGCCTAAGATCCAGGCCAATCCCATTCACAATTCATTTCTTGCATCACGCAGTATTTTGATTTAAAATTGATATATTTGCAATTTTTATCGATATCTCCAAATCTTACCATTCTCTTATTTTCCTTATATTCTTTTTCTATACATTTCTGTATGCTTGTATACACTTTGACCTTAATGTCAGAAGGGGGTTACATACTGCTGCTGTCCAGTACAATTTGAATGAAACATTGCTCATATTTTAAAACAAGACCCCGAGAGGAAAACAAGACAAGTAGGTTTTGAAATGTAGACATATTGTAAGAGAATATCTAAATAAAGGCACTACTAGATAGTTGTGTACATCAATCTGTCTTTATACAAGGAATACCAAAGTATATTTTAAATACAAGACTAGTGATTGGGGATGTTTGGAGACCTTTGGGGTCATCTCGCGCTTCTTCCAATGTCTCCCTTTGTGAGCTATGAACCAGAAAATAGACATCGATGTGTTGTTTCGCTTCGCTTTGGAATAAACGCCTCTGTCAATAAGCCGTGTTCCCTCAACTGTAAACGATGTATGAAACAGGGCAGAATATGGGACAAGCTTTCTCCTCCCGTCTGATGACTCTCATTTCACAGGTATAACGGTTGTTCGCGCATTTCTTTTGTAAAGACTTTGCTGCTCTAAATCATAGGCTTCACTGGTGAAGCATAAGGCATTTACATTGTGCACGTTTGTCATTTATTTCAGATCTTTTCTGCTTTATGTTCTATTAATTCAACAATTGAAACGCTTACCACCGCGAAAAGGTTGCACTAAAGGTTACAGCAAAGCTACTTAACAAGCAGTACATTAATAATCGTATACTAATTTGTTTATTTTTTGTCTCTGAAATAGACTGCGGCTAGCATAAGATCGATTTGTTCTAGTAAACGTATTAGGCAAGGTTATTGTCCTTTTCATAAAAAACCCTGCTTTAAGTCAATTGAGGAGTGTTGTGCGTTTACATTTTGTACCCGATGTATTTAAGTTCAGTATGACTGTACACCTGTAGGACGTTTGTCCACACTGACCCTACACTCCAACACTGACCATCCTTACCTGATCAGGGCCATCATGATTCGGTAGGTCCCCTTCTTTCTCATCACCTTATGGAGACCAGTCTCCCCAGTGTTATCAGTGGCGTCGATATCTATGTCCTTACAGACCAACATATAGATAGCTTGAACAGTTTCAGGGTCCGCGAAATTCTCCCCATGGTTCACCAGTAGGTGAAGGAGATTTCCTCCCGTTTCCTCGTCTCTCAGGTTCACATCTTTGCCTGTTTTCAGGTATTCCCACAAGGCACCCATCACTTGCTTGGGATTACCTGTATTTATGGTCTTGAACAATTTTGTCTTCCGAAGATTCATTTTCTATTGTCGAAGAACTAATCCACTGACACAAACCTTTTGTTATGTTCTAGGATACTACAGAAATTCGATCGGAAAATCTTCCCTTCTTCACACTAGAAGGAATTTTTCATTTTTCTCCACTATTTGTCTGTAGGTTGTTTACATTTGCTTGTTGGTAGATACACCTTTGGTCGATTGTAGCCAGTACTTATTGATCAGCCTCTCGTGTTACTCCCAGACCTGTAGTTGTTTTCGCTGTTCTCGTTCGACTGTCAACAGATCGCTGTGGCTGTCAGACGTAAAAGCAGGGAAAATTTCTTCTACTCAGGCGGAACGACAATGCTTTTAATCTCTCTATAGCAAAGCGAGAGGTATTACGTCTGATGGAAAGGGAGCGAGCTTTGGCGTCACACCTGAATGCTTCTATTATTTACCTGTAAGGTACTGTAATACCTGTAATGATTTCACCACACACACTACCTGGGCTTTGTATGACTCTTTGACCTGCATGTCTACCTTTACGTAACCATTGATTTATCTGCCCTTCCATGTGATTTGCCAGGGAGAAAGTGCTAATTATTGTCGCTAAGCTCTTCTGTTAAACTTATTTTTTCCTCTTACAGGTATTTCGTTTTTATTGTTATCCAACTGTCGACATGATTCAAGTTTACTCTACTCCTTTCTCCTATACTAAAAAATCCTCTGCAACCATTTATCAATTGATTGCTTTTTATTCAGTTAAAACAATAATGATATACCAAATTGAATGAAAACTACTTATGAAATAAATAATCAGAATACTTGTTAATTTTTTTTTATCCTTTTTTAAAACTAAAAGAAAGTCTAAGGACAGTTATATCACATTTTGTTAGAGGACAGAAAAGCTGCATGGAGTTTGTAAGCAGGGAGTCCGATCTCCAGTCCAGTTACAAAAAAAAACAAAACAAAACTCTTCTGTTCACGTGGTTATGCCTGCACACTCAGGTGGGTTAATAATTATGCCCTGTTCACACGGAGAGTTTAATTCGAATTAAACGTAAGTTTACTGCGAATTAGCTTCGCTTAGCGTTCACACGGAGAATTTAATGCGAATTAGTTTAATTCGAATTAATTTACTGCGCATTAAATTACTTCGCATTATCTCCGTGTGAACGCTAAGCGAAGCTAATTCGAATTAAATTTTGGGGCAAGCGTAATGGCAAAATTAAGTCAAATGAGTTATGTCAGTGGTCAGCTTTAAGTACTTGTACCATTTTTGAGTGAAAAACTAAGAAAAATGTGTTAATCACTAAAATAATGTGTACAGACACTGTGACATTATGTCAAATGCATCTGCTTCTGCATAAGGTGACGTGATTTGCAAATGACGTCATAATAGCCTTACTGATGCCTGAATGTCGAAGTAAAATTTTAATTCGCATTAGTTTACTTCGCATTAGCTGTCGTGTGAACGCAATTTAATTCGCATTAGTTTGATTCGCATTAGTTTACTTCGCATTAATTTACTGCGAATTAAAGTTGTCGTGTGAACAAGGCATTAGAATAAACAGCTATGGATATGAGCGAGAAAATTCTCATCATTTAGATAGTTCAAAAAATACTTCAGATCCGAATAGGTTAAAGTGGAAGCGATCAATCAAGAGAACCCACAGGTAATATGGGCCCACAGAGCAATGCATACGTGGACTAAATTTTAGAGTAAGTTCATGTTTTTCAAGTTAATAATGCATTACTCTATCTTGTTTTTATAACTGTTATATGTACTTTTAATTGACGATGCCCTGGAAAAGATCTGCATACAAATAGAAAGAAAAGAAAACAGGCTTTAAAATATGTAAACATTTCTTGATTTTTAAAACACTAAGATTGTAACAAGTCATCATTTTTAAAAATCCATTTGCACAACTTTTTTGAAGTTATACTCAAAGACACTCTTATATTTTATACTCTTATATTGTATTTTTCCTATCCTTTAGTTCGTTAAACATCTAGATAAAAGAAAAGCATTGACCATCCGTTCATTACTTTCTGGGAAAAATGAAGCTTTCAGTGTCCTAAGAATTTTTCAATATGAAAATTTCTACAGAAACTATTTTGTATCCCTTTCTTAGCCGTACTGTTTTCATATTCTTGAAAAATACAGTTTAAAAAATGAACATAAGAGTTCAACACTCTTACTTAATTCAGATATATCGACGACGTATTATAATCGAATTGTTATGTATCTTAGGAAACTCGAAATGAGTCTGTCACAAAGTCTGTGAAATTTATGGAAATAACAAACAGTATTCAGGTTCAACAGTCCATTAAACAATACACATCAGAGCAGAGCAAACTTGAATCTTTAAAACAACAGAGGTGGAATCAGGTACCATGGAGGAGTGAGTATCCATTGTTAACCGGCCACACACACCGTGTGCTCCTTGTCATGATTGGGAAATAACGGAAATATCCGTCGACAATTCTGAATGTAAATAATGGTCTTATAAAATGGTCTTGAAAAATGTCAGTCAGCAATTGACATTGTATTTGCTGACAAGGTCATTGTATCGACCACAGAACTTACGAAATAATGACTTTAAAAGAGACTCGTTTCATCAACTTATTTGTCATTACCCTTTTTAGAAATTGTTCATACGTAGAGCATGGTATTGTGTATCTAATCAGCTGAAAGATATAAACTCCTTGTGCAGGTGTCAAAGGTATATTGCTTCAAAAATAAGGGAAGTTGACGATTGAAAGTCAAAGTCATCACGTTTATCACAGAGCTTTGTTGTTAGACTACCATTAACGTCTATTTCAAAGTTTTTCTAGTAAAATATCCAAATATGAAACAGTTGAATCAGACTCTGTCGTATCTTTTATTTCAAGCTCACCGGAATATATCATGTCGACATAAGAATGGAAAAACAAGTGTTGATTGACAATACATTGTCGATATATATATAAATGTAAAGTTGAATGCTACAACAAGTGTTTTCTTCTTTTCACGTATAAGATTTTGAACGAATTCTGCTTCATATGAATACAAAAATAGGTCTGCTAACAACGGTGCGCCAATGGTACGAACTCCAATAGAGTGTTGGAACACTTGGTCTCCAAAACTATAAAGAAATCTTCAGTTAGAAAGTCAAACGTCTGTTTTATTAGCTTCAGAGAGTACTTAAATTTATTATATACCCATCAATTTCCTTGTTTTTGTTACTGTTAATTTTACAGAGTTTGATCCGATTTTCCGGATCACCACACTGTGGTTTTCTGAATCCATATCACCACTCTCTGAAACTGATGACGTAGTACGCAAAAACATGACGTTATTTTTCTTGCGCGTTAAAAAGTCCCTTGTCATTATGCTTTGTTTTATGGATAAATATTATACAATTGATCTCTAAAGTTTAATTCTGCTATATTTAGCTAGTTATATGGGGGTATATAATAAATCTATCATTATAACAGTAACTTGATCCGAAGAGCCGTATCACGTCTCATTGACAGGTGCGGATCATCAGATCAAACTCGTCGCTTCGCTTCTCGTTTGATCTGATGATCCACGCCTGTCAACTCGACGTGATATGACGCTTCGGATCAAGTTACTGTTATAATAATATATATGTACAATAGATTATTATTATTTTCTTGTTTGTTATTGTCCAACCGTACCTGTGAAAACCACTTTTGAAAAAATACCAGTTTTATTTAATGGAACTTATAAACTTGTAAAATCACATGTTTTCATGGGGTCAAATTTTCGAGGTTTGTGAGTGGGGGGGAGGGGTAGGGGATTATTGGTTTATGTGGATTTGATTTCATGGTTGAAAAATTTTTAGTAGTTATTACATTTCATAAATTCGTGGGTCTCTCCATACCTCGAAAACAATGAACATTAAACCCCTCGAAAAATAGTAATTTCTCAGTAGTCCTTCAAATGGAGAGGTAAAAAAAAATAAGCATTAATACATACATGTATTTAGGATGTTCACTTCTCTTCACTTCTCTGTGAACCTGATCATGATTTCACCTACGTTTTAAGATTAATTTACATTCATAATTAAATCTAATTGTTTTTAGCTTCTAAATCAATACCATCCTTGTATTGACTGCTCTGAAATTCAAGGTCAAATGATGATTACACAAATAAGAAAGCAGTTGTTTATTTCCTTGAATTTATAATATAAATTTTAGAGGTTTTGATTTGATTTTAATTATATAAGTAGGAATATGAAAATTTTAGCACTTTTTATCAAAGGAATGTTGTTTTTTTTCCATCATGATAATTGATATACAGGGAATGCAATAAGGCAAACGACAAGAGTTAATTCGAATCAAGTTTAGAAGTTCAAAAGTTGACAAAGTAATTATTGTTATGAAACTTGGAAGTTTCATAAAAAGACACCCGGTGTCTGTTTTACAAAATAAACACACGACTAAGACCAACATTTAAAATTTTGTTTATAACTTTTTTATATACAATAAATCTAATTTTGAGAGGGTATGTAAAAAGATTTTACGTTAGCAGTTTTAAACAGACTCATTTAATTTGCAAAATTTTACAATCAACTGAAGTTTTTGGTCAGTGGTAAGTTCTTTTGTAAAATGAACCCTAGAGTTTGTATTAGGTAGTTGAAACGACCAAACATAATATCCCGCAAAATGTTTCCTGAAGATGAGAACTGTGTTTCACGTAATTGTTATGCTTTTGCGGTTTACTAATGCTCATTACTTCAACGTCATACACGAATATTTTATTAAATATCTGATTCTTTAACCGGTGTCCATTGGATAATCCACAGAAATATTATTCATATATAGTATTAGACGTTTTCAGATTTCCAGTGGTAAAACAGTTTTTTAATTGAATGAATGTAAAGCTTCTAAAAGAGATGCTAGTTAGTATATTAAATTTGGAAATTTCCTTTTCCGATCTCATTTAATCTGTTTTGTTAAACTTAAGTTTTGATTACAAACTTTTCTTTATGTTAGAAATCTTACTGGATTAAATGTGAAGAAGACCACAAAATTTAGAAGTCCTTTCAAATAATACAAATTAGGAGCAGAGCAAGCAGATAGTTTTTTTAATAATACCAAAAATATGGGACTATCTGAACTGCAAATTTTCCAATGGTGTCTTCGAACTAGAATGTACTTTTTATGGTCAAATTTTGTTGATATGTTGGATAAACCATGAGTTAACAGAATTAAAAGAATAAGGGAATAGATTCCAAATTAAAACGAGTGCTAGCAGCTTCTCTACAAGAAATTTAATTTGGCTGATTATTCTATTTTGTCAATGGAAGTTGGGAATGTAAAAAAAATTCTAGATTTCCCGTCATACTAATAACCCGTTATTGAGTACACCTTTCCGTAGACAAAAAGAATCAAAGAATAGTGGATTAGGAAATTAGGCATGTGCTTTTCAATGATAGCTGTCTATTATTTTGGGAATCTTTCAAGTCCACAATAAATCAATGTGAATATGCTGAAGCTTTATCGGGTTTCCAATAAAACAATTAT